TGATCACTATACACCAGGGAAGTCCCTGGCGGCCCCCCAGCCCAGAGACTGAAAGGAGAAGTGCTTCATCCGCCCCGCCTCTGGGCCAGGACACAGCTTCTCACTGGGCAGCCGAGCTTGCCTTCAGGACAGGAAAGGGACTGCTTAGATGAACAGTTCCAGTATAGGAAGTGCTGAGGGTGGGGTGGGGAGGACAGATTCTGCTGCCAGACCTTTCAAAGGTCTGAAAGACCAGAAGTGGAGTGTGTTTTTGATGTTACAATGAATCCACCAAGCCGCTTTCTGGCCTGGCTCCCACTGTGCTGGCACTGCCACCTCTGCGCCCCTGCAGTTTAGACGTGAGTCCACAACTCTCCATCCTAACCATGCCCTCTGCTTCCTCCCTTTGAAGCTCAAGGCTGCTCTCTCTCCAATTTCCTAACCAGCAGGTCTAAATTCAAGCGCCCAAGCCCTGGTTTTCTGGGTGTGTCAGTGGTGATCACATTATGGAGGTCAACCTTAACTGGTCCTTGGACTGTTAAGCTGTTGATACCCAGGAGGACCGTACAGAGTGCCAGGTACCTATGCTGACACTCGGCACACACACATGTGTAGCAAAGGCTGCAATCACCAGGGCTGAAATGTTACTCTTTGACCTGTATTGTTTCAATCATTTCAGAACTGTGGCGAACAGCAGCTCGGCCCCTCCACCCCCGCATGCCAGCACCTTTCCCTTCCCCTCTTCCCCACAGGCACGTTACCTTCACCTTTCTCTCTCCTAAGCTCCAAGGGCCCCTTCTTTTGCCTCTAGAACCTACTAAATAAACGTTCTCTTACAAATAAAATACAAGTGTGGCCAGCAAAAGAAGTAGATCGTGGTCTCCGAGACAATATGCTTTGTGCACATAACACAGTTGGAGTTTTTCACTTTCTCTAAGGTTGGGGGCCCCTCCCTTTTGAGGTGTCCATTACCCAACAATGTGCCACCCTGCCAGACCCACGTCTGAGCACCTCCATGCCATCCATGCAGGCACCATCCTCCAGGAAATTCCAGTAGAGAAGGGGCCACCTAGTTTTGTATTCCTATTTTCAGACATTTTTTTTTCCTCCTCACTGCTACACACTTTCTTTCTTGACCCTCTCAAGGGTCCTCCCCTCCTAACAAACATCACAATGGGTCAGGGACTCAGCTCAGCATGCTACATGCTCTGCCTCATCAGTCATTCCACCCAACAGAGTTATGTGTGAGGTAATCAATACCTCTTTTTATAACTAAGGCTTGAAGAGGTCTAGTACTTTGCCAAAGGCATACATATATAGTAAGCATAAGGAAGAGTATAAGCCCAGGTATGTCTGACTTAGTTCTTGCTTCTAACCAGTACCCTTTATAGCAGTTCTTAGCTGAGGGAAACTTTGCCCCAGGAGATGTTTGGCAATGTCTGGGAACATTTTTGGTTGTCACAGGTGGAGTTAGGTAGGTACTACTGGCATCTATGTGTAGAGGCCAAGGATGCTACTAAACATCCGAAAGTGCACAGGACAGCCCCCACAAACTTACCCTGTCCCAAATGTTAATAATGTAAAGGTTTGAGAAACCCTGCTCTCCTGGGAAAAGGCAGAGAAACTATCTTGTCTATATCCCATATTACAGCCAGACACCAAATAAACCACCAGGTCCTCCTCTCCCTTCAATCAATAGCATGCCAACCCCACATCACACTGGAGTTCCCTCCAGCCCCAACTGCCAGTTCCTCTTCAGCCAATCAAAGCCGATCATCCATCCATCCAACAAGATATACTGAGCACCAGCTATGTGCCTGGAAATGAGCTACACAATGGGACTACAGGGCAAACCAGACCCTGTCCCTGCCTACAAGATGCTGGGGATCTAGAAAGGAGAGAGACAAGGAAACCTATGATCATGATATGAGGATACTAAGAAATCACAGAGGAGGGGCCCTGAACTCAGCTGGGGTAGGGGCTGGGCAGGGCTCAGAGAAGGCTTCCTAGAAGCCTGAGTTTGAAATGGAACCTTCCCTTCCAAAGTACAACTCACCAGACTTTTCAGGGTATGGTCTCTGGGAATCCACAGATTGACAACTTTAATTTTTTTAAATTGATTTGAGAGAGAGAGAGAGAGAGAGAGAGAACATCTATCGATCAGTTGCTTCCCGCATGCTCCCCAAGCAGGGATCCAACCTGAAATCTGGGTATGTGTCCTGACTAGGAATCAAACCCGCCACCGGTGTACGGGACGAAGCTCCAACCAACTGAGCCATACTTGCCAGGGCCAGATTGGCAACTTTAATTAGAAAGCGTGGTGGAACACCTGAGGAAGACAGAGAGGCCTAGAGCAGTCCTTGTACAACCTGGATAACCCGTGCCTGGAGGGAGGATGGCAACTTGGATTCTCCATAGGTTTAGGCCTTCTTCGACTGCAATCCTAACTGGCCTCTCTGGCTTCAAACATCATGCACCGTGCAGCAGGAGATAACTAACATTTGCACATGAGATCTTGTGAATTACATGCCTGATCTCACATAATTCTCAAAACAATTCTATGAGGCAGAGATTGGTATCCCTATTTTACAGATGAAGACACGGAGGTGCAGTGATGAAGGAACGAACCTCAAAACGCCAGCTATGGACACAGCGTCACTAAACAGGGAAGCAGATTCACACCCAACACCAGAGTCTGTTGTCTCTATCTGAGGGGACCTTTACAGTTATCAATCCAAGACAGGTCGTTCACTAAATCTTCACCACCTCTGTAGAGCATTCCAGCACCAGTCACCCTTCTGTCCACTACGCACTTTTGAACAGATCTCTGTGGTGTTTCTTACATGTACTGTGATTATCCATATGACCAAGAGCTCCAGTCTTTCTGATGTCCACATCCCTAGCACCTAGCACAGTGTCTGACACGCTGGGCACAGAAAATGCTAAATGCAAAACAAGCTTGTATTCTCAGGGCACAAGCAACATAACCTACCCAGGCCAATTTGGCCTGCCTTGGAGAGCTGGAGGCCTGGGAGGCGTGCCCAGCCCTCTTCCACCAATGAGGGGGACTTCCCCTCAGGCTGGGCCCAAGCCCCAAAGTCAGCAACCCAGTCACAGAGGGCTCTGAGCAGGTTCTCTCGGCCAGCTTGCCCTCCAGTATTGGAACAGTCATGGTTCACTCTTTTTTGTTTGTTTGTTTGTTTTTTGTGTACATGCCCCTAGCAGGAACCAAACCCGGGACTCTCAGATCCACAGGCCGACACTCAACTGCTGAGCCAAACTGGCCAGGGCATGGTTCATTCTTTGTACACCAGATGCTATTTTTTGTGGACATGTTGTACAAAAATATTATCTTTAAACATGAGAACCATAAGAGGAATGAGCATGTGTTCCCCACTCTGGCTTTTCCTTTCTGCCCAATGGAGTGCACACACGATGGCAGGAGCTGAAGCAGCCAGCTTACATCACGAAATGGAGCTTAGGTTTGGGCGAGGAGAGCCTATGATCAGTGGAACCATGGTCCTGGATTCACAGAACAGAGTAGCTGCTCTACCAGCTCTGGACTGCCTACTTCCAGACTAATAAGGGGCAAGGAATAGATTCCTATTTTGTTTCAGCTACTATATTTTGGGATTGCTTTGTTTGAGCATTTTATGATTGTACTTAATTAAAACAAGGTGTGAGCAGTGCCCAGTGATTAACTTAGTCTGGTCTTTGTTGGTAAAACAGTAACAATACTTGCCCCTAAACTAGGACTCTGTCATTTGAATAATTTTAAAGAAAAACCTATCTTGAAAGGGTGATTTGAATCACACTGAACCTTGAGGAGGACAAACTGACCTGCTGGTTTGTTTCATCCTTGAGTATCACAGACATACCTCAGACTTCCAAGTAGCCCAGTCTACTCTTTTCTGACAGTTTGTCTGGGTAAACTCCAGCTTGGCTCTCCTCCTCCCACTCATTACCTGAATCAGAGACACCCAGGTGGAAATGTAATGAGAACCCAAGGGGTACCTGCTTCCTTAAGAGCTGCCCTTTCATTCATCCATCACACACAGGCAAATGCAGAGCACTGAGCACACAGCCTGGCCCAAAGTAAGTGCTCAATAAATGTTAAATGAGATAACTTTGGGTCTGGGGTGGCCACCCTCATTTCTCACCTGAAATACTCTAGCAGAGTCTTAACAGATCTCCAGGGTCACTCCCTTTAATACATTTTTCACATAGCCAGAGTGATCTTTCTAATCCACAAATCTGGTTCTTAAATGACTTAACCTAAAATTTAAACTCCATAACTAGACTTAAAAGCCCCACCCCTCACCCCAGGACCAGACGACAGCCTGCTTCCTTAGTCTTAACTCTCACCTTTGAGAGGAAGGACTAACGTGCTTAAGGACAGAAACGGAAGGCAAGCTGCCAGGCTCCCCGGTTCACTTTTAACCACTATGCCAGTCTTGGATCATTGGCGCTAGCTTCAGAACTCAGCTGGTGCTGAACCACTGTCCGTGGAATGAATGAACGAGTGAATGAGTGAATGAAATGACTGTACACAGGAGCAGTGTCGCCTCCAATTCTGCCAGAACCTCCTATAGGCCCTGGCAAGCCCCTGCCCTCTACCCCAGCCAGCGAAAGTGAGCTGCCCCGGCACCCGGCACCCGCCACCTCGTGGCCGCACAACGCCCACCCCGCTGCGGCGCACCGGGTCAAGGGGCGGTAACAGCTGGGCGGCGGAAGCGGGATGCTGCCAGCTGGGGTGTCACCCAGCCCGGGAGGCGACTCGCGCTCCCGTGCCGGACTGCCGGACCGCCCACCCACTTCCCGCCCGCCCCCCAGCGGCGCACTCCGCCCAGATGCCCCTCACCCCCTGCCCCGCGGCGGCCCCTCGGTCCCGGTTCCCTTCCCATTCCATTTCCCTCCCCTCCCCCACACAACCGTTCCGGCGTCCCGCCGCGCCCCATCCTCTGCCGCCTCCGCCAGGATCCCGGCTGCTTCCCCGGCCCCAGGCGCTTGCGGACCCTCACCTGCCATGTCCCGGACCCCACCGCTGAGGGAGGTGCATCACGGCCGCGAGAAGGCCGGGGACGGCACTCCAGAGCAGACAAAGGGCGCCGCCATGTTACAGTCGGGCGGAACCGACCTCGCTGGCTTCCCGGCTGCGACTTCCGCCGCCTGCACAGCGCCCGCGCTAGACCTGGACTGCGGGCGCGCGCATGCGCCTGGCTGCCCAGAAGTTCTACGTTCACTTCTGCATTTGGAGTTGTTACATTGTAACCTTTCCTTGCTCTTCTGTTCCAAATATGACAGTAACAGTTTTTACGGGCTCGGCGCGTGCTGTGTGCCAGGCGCTGTGATAGCTCATTAAACCTTCTCACCAACTTTAAACTAGTCTCCCCCTTTTGGAGAAGAGAAAACACAGGTACAGAAAGGATAAATGAATTGCCCGCTGTCACGCATTTTACAAGTGGTGGAGCGAAGTTGTGAATTTAGTGTGGTTCCAAAGCTGCAGATCCCGGATTATGGTTTTCTGTCTTCTGAGCCAATCTTTCCTCCCATCCCTATTTAGGTCATATCCAGGATTAGCCTGGGTGTGAGTGACGGTGCCAATTTGAACAGTCTCTTTGGCCTCTCCAACTTTCAGCATCTCCAGGCTACTGACTTCTCTACTTTCTCACAGTTCCTGAGCTTCCTCCTTTTTTCACTTGGGAGCCTGTATATTTTCCATGATCTTTAATTTTAACAGCACTCTTGACACTACTGTCGTGAGCAAGGGAGCATCCTCGGAAGGAGTCACTCACACGTTTGTGTCTTTCCACAATGCCAGGTTTATTAGGGGAGACCTCCCCAGTAAGCCAATAGAGTCACATACAGGTTACACAGAGAGGGCGAGCTTGAGCGATAGACGGGAGCTGAGCCAGCACAAGCCCAAAGTCGCTGTCACTGGCAGCCTCTGCAGGTGAAGAGGCGGGCATGGGTCTCAAGCCAGACGGCTATAGTGGCAGCAGGCAGCAGGTGGAGTGGAAGTCCAGCAGGGCTCTGAGCATGACCTGTAGTACAGCCAGGCTCTAGCACTGGGTGGTTGGAGTTCTGAGTTCTTATAGTCCACCAGGGTGGAGTCCCACTCAGATCAGTGTCCAGATGGAGTCCTTATCCAAGAGCCCAGACTTGTGATTTTGGGTGTTCCTCACCCCTCCCAAAGGTAGTCCCATTTTATCCCACTATCTCAGTCTTTTTTTTTTTTTTTTTTTTTTTGTGGTACATGCCCCTAGCGGGAACCGAACTTGGGACTCTCTGGTCCGCAGACCGACGCTCAACCACTGAGCCAGACTGGCCAGGGCATTATCTCAATCTTGACATAGCACTTGACACAACTGTCCTGCCTGACAGTGACTCCATGTTGGATTGTCAAAGGTCTGCTCTGCTCTTGCTCTATATACCACTGTCCTAAACTCCTTTGTTTCCTTACTTTTTGTCACTTGGATTTGGTAAGAGTTTGGGTTAATCCACTAGTTCTTTTCTCTTTGCCTGCACCTAAACAGCCAAGCACAGTTGGAGAAAGTACCTGATGGGATACACTGTTCCCTGCAAATCCATGACTGCCAGCCTTAAGTGGGACTTCCAGAAATGTCAGTCCTGCTAACTCACTGGTCCTCTCTTCACAATGACTTAGAGAGTCGAAAGAGCTCAGCAGCAGTTGACTTCACCCTTTCTTTTGCAAGAAAATAATAGCAAGTCTGAGGAAACCATTTTGTCTTCCCAAGATGAAGCATACAAACCTACCCCTGTGTTCATCTGTGTTGGATGTAGTCAGTCAGGACTCAGCATCCTTTTCTTCCAGAATCTACAAAGTACAAATTTTATTTCCCAGACTCAGTTGCAGTTAGAATTCCAGAGACAGATGGGTTCTGCCAGTTGGTAAGATTTGGAAGGTGGAAGTGAGGCTGTAGCCATCCGCCTGCTGAAATTAGCTGATTTCTCCTGGCAAGCAAGACCATGCGATTTGCAGCAGGGCATGGTGGTCAGTCTCCAGCTTCATGAGTGTTCAGAAGCATCTGTGAGATGGTGACAGCCAAATCCAGCATGTAGTGCCTGGGAACCGGCATCTAGTCCCACATCTAGATCCACGGAGCTCTATTATGGTGATATATTCTTCACTTGATCTTAGCCAAAAGGTTGGAACACGATGTGATATATTCTTTTTTAAAAATATGTTTGTATTGATTTTAGCCCTGGCCTGTTTTGCTCAGCGGTTAGAGCATCGGCCTGCGGTCCAGAGAGACCCGGGTTCGGTTCTCGCTAAGGGCACGTACCTGGGTTGCAGTTTGTCCCCGGCCCTGGTTGGTTGTGTGGGTGGCAGCCACTCGATGTGTCCCTTTCACATCAATGTTTCTCTCTCTCTCTCTCTTCCTCTCTCTCCCTCCCACTCTATCTGAACAAAAAATGGAAAAATGTCCTCGGGTGAGGATTAAAAAAAAATGTTTTTATTGATTTTAGAGAGAGAGAGAGAAAGAGAGAGGGAGAGGGGGAGAGAGAACCACCCATCGGCTGCCTCCTGCAAGACCCCTACTGGGGATCAAGCCTGCAGCCCAGGAATCGAACCTGCGACCTCTCAGGTGTATGGGGCAATGAATAACCAACTGAGTCACACTGGCCAGAGTCAGAATACTCTTTTTTTTATTTTTTATTTTTCAAATCTTTATTGTTGGATGTAAAATGTATTACAGATGTTCCACATTTTTCCCCCATTGACCCCTTCCTCCCCACTCCCGCCCCCCTCCCACCTTTTCCCACACTATTGTCTGTGTCCATTGGTTATGCATATAAGTTCTTTGGTTTATTTCCCGCCCCCCCCCAACCCCTTTCCCTTTGAGGTTTGTCAGTCTAGCAATGAATTTGTGCTTCTTAATCCCTTCACCTTTTTCACCCATTCCCCCAACCCCCCTCCCAACCGGCAACCAACAAAATGTTCTCTGTATCTATGAGAATGTTTCTGTTCTGCCTGTTCATTTTGTTTGTAGATTCCATTGTTGATAGATATGTATTCATTGTCATTTTGTTTGTTCATACATTTTATCTTTTTCTTCAAAAAGACCCTTCATTGCCCTGGCTGGTTTGGCTCAGCGGTTAGAGCGTCGGCCTACGGTCCTGAGAGACCCGGGTTCAGTTCCCGCTAAGGGCATGTATCTCGGTTGCAGTTTGTCCCCGGCCCTGGTCGGTTGTGCGGGTGGCAGCCACTCAATGTGTTCCTTTCACATCGATGTTTCTCTCTCTCTCTCTCTGTTCCTCTCTCTCCCTCCCACTCTACCTGAACAAAAAATGGAAAAATGTCCTCGGGTGAGGGAAAAAAAAAAAAAGACCCTTCATCATTTCATATAATAACGGTTTGGTAGTGATGAACTCCTTTAACTTTTTCTGGTCTGGGAAAGTTTTTATATGTCCATCGATTCTAAATGACAGCTTTGCAGGATAGAGTAATTTTGGTTGTAGGTTCTTGCTTTTCATCACTCTGAATATTTCTTGCCACTCCCTTCTGGCCTGCAAAGTTTCTTTTGAGAAATCAGCTGACAGCCTAATGGGAACTCCCTTGTAGGTAACTAGCTGCTTTTCTCTTGCTACTTTTAAGATTCTCTCTTTGTCTTGAACCTTTTGCATTTTGATGATGATGTGTCTTGGTGTGGGCCTCTTGGGGTTCATCTTGTTTGGGACTCTCTGTGCTTCCTGGACTTGTATGTCTGTTTCCTTCACCAAGTTAGGAAAGTTTTCTGCCATTATTGTTTCAAACAGGTTTTCGATTTCTTGTTCTCACTCTTCTCCTTCTGGCACCCCCAAGATGCGAATGTTGGCACGCTTGAAGTTGTCCCAGAGGCTCCTTACACTATTCTCATTTTTTTGGATTCTTTTTTCTTTTTGCTGTTCCGATTGGGCATTTTTTGCTTCCTTATATTCCAAATCGATGGTTTGCTCCTTGGATTTACGTACTCTATTATTGAAGCTGTGTAAATTATTCTTTATTTCAGTTAATGCCTCCTTCTAACTGTGTATCCATGATTTCTAACTGGTCCTTTTTTATGCTCTTGAGGCCCTCCCTAAGTTCACTGAGGTTCTCACTGAGTTCATTGAGTATCCTTATAAGCAGTATTTTGAACTCAGTATCTGTTAGGTTGCTTAGCTCCATTTCGCTTAGTTCTTTTATTGGGGTTTTGTTCTGTTCTTTCATTTGGGACCTGTTTCTTTGTCTCCTCATTTTGGCTGCCTCTCTGTGTTTGTTTCAGTGTATTGCTTAATGAGAGGTATGGGGCTCGCTGAGACCAGATGCTGCTCGTTTGAAAGAATTTAGGAAAAACCTGAAGCAGGATCCGAGACCGGCCAATCCTATGGTTAAGCAAGTGGCAACAGCTTGTGTGGAGCTGAAAGTTGGGCGGGGCGGGGCCTCAGGGATTCACCAGGGCGGGGCTACCAGTGCGAGCCAGGTTGCTGGAGTCCCAGATATGGCGACTGTCTGCCGCCCCAGGGAAGGGCTCACCAAAGGAACAAAGGTCTCTTACAGCACGTTGGTCCCCGCGAAAGCCCCCTCTCCAGCCCTCGCTCCAGTGCCAAACAGCTCAGTTCTTCCCTGTTTGTCTCTGGCGCCCCTTGAGCTGCCTCCCCTCCAAGCTTAGAGGAAGCGAGTCCGATAAGTCCGTGCGCGGGCCCTTTAAGGAGCTGCCTGGGGCTCCAGCCGCTTCAGCCTCCCTGAGCCTCAGTTTCCGCTGGTTTTCCAGCCAGAAATGATGGGGATTCTCTTCCTGGCACTGGAACCCTGAGCGGGGCACCTGGTGTGGGACGGGGACCCCTCAGTCCTCAGGGAGGACCCTCTCAGCCGCGGGAGCCTCCTGATTTTTATCCGCCACACGTGGGTGTGGGACCAGCCTGTCCCGTCGCACCGCTGCCGCCTCCTCCGCCCCTCGCGCCGCAGCCCCTCCTACCGGTCTGGATGTGGCTGCTGCTTTAATTCCGTAGTTGTAGGACTTCCATTCATCTTGATTTCAGGCGGTTTTGAATGATGGTTGTTCTGTAGTTTTGTTGTAACTTTGATGTGGTTGTGGGAGGACGCGATACCGCGTTTACCTACCCGCCATCTTGACCGGAAGTCTGATTTTTTTTCCCCAGAATACTCTTAATCATGCCTGAAAAGTCCCTTTTGCTGTGTAAAGTAACATATTCATAGGTTCTGGGGATTAGGGCATGGACATCTTTGGGTGGCCATCCTTCTACCATACATAGTTACTTCTTATTCATAGTAGTAATAGTATTTCCACTTAATGAAGCAATATCAATTTTCTCTTAAAAATATTTTTCTTTTTCAATAAAACATGTTGGTTCGCTTAAAGGATGCTGTAGACTGTGTCCTCCCCAAATTCATACTTTGAAACCTAACCCCCAGTGTGATGATAGTAGGAGGTGGGGGTCTTTGGGAGGTGATTAAATCATGAGGTGGGAACCCTTATGAAAAGACCCCCCCAAACAGTCCCCTTGTTCCAGAAAAAAAAGACAGCTTCTATGAACCAGTTTGCAGGTCTTCACCAAAAACCAAATCTGCAGACACTTGATCTTGGACTTCCCAACATCTAGAACTATGAGAAATAAACGTTTGTTGTTTAAGTCCCCCAGACAAAGGGCACGTTACATAAGTAGCATTCCATAAATTCTTAGGTAGGAAAAATCATAACAAAACAAAACTGGTAACGCGGCCAGAAAATGAGTGAGGTTTGGGAAACGGGCCTGGATGAGAAAGTTCCAAGGCATGTCCCAAATCAGGAAGCAGCTGACATTGGAGGAAATGGCGTTGGTTTAGTAGAGGGCCTGCCAACATAACCCTGTGGATCAAAGTAATCCCCTAACTGCCCCCAGGCCAGTTCCTGTGGCTCCCAGGGAAGTCACTCAGTGGATCCAGATCCTGCAAATAAAAAAGGTCTGGTCCTTGGATGGAGAATTACATCCTGGAAGAGGCTGCCAAAAACTGTTCCTCCTGCCAATGCACAACCAGGCGAGACCAAGGGCCATGGCAGCAGCCATGGCCTCATCAGAAGACCCCAGGGACTGGGGAGCCAGCCCCAAAATCGTAGTCCTCGAGCCAGATCTGGACACCAGTTCAGGTAAAAGGTGGCAGAGAACGCCTGAGTCTTGAAGAAAGACCTCCCGAATGGGCTGGGATGTGAGGGCAGAGGACAGCTACCCTCCCTTGGGGCTGCCAGGATTTTTAAGCCAGGGGTGGACATCACTTTTATTTCTTTCTTTATCCTCACCTGAGGACATTTTTCCATTTTTTGTTCAGATAGAGTGGGAGGGAAAGAGAGAAAAAGAGAGAGAGAGAAACATTGACGTGAAAGGGACACATGGAGTGGCTGCCTCCCACACGACCCAACCAGTGCGGGGGACAAACTGCAACTGAGGTATGTGCCCTTAGTGGGAACCGAACCCGGGTCTCTCTGAACCGCAGGCCGATGCTCTAACTGCTGAGCCAAACCGACCAGGGCCACTTTTATTTCTTGTATTAACCAACCTAACAGAACGTAAGCTTCCTCCTGAACCGGTTTATGGTGAAGAACACATAGTTAAGAGAATGGATGTATTTATGATTTGGGTAACTCGAAAGTTGCTTTTTTAAGAGCACCAGCTTTAGCTCAGAACCTGCTCTTGCATTGGCTTCACAGATAAATGGACGGACTAGTTCATAGCTGCTTCCCCCCGCGCTGGGCTCTGAGGTGGGTGGGAAGGACAGAGCAGGGTCCTCAGGGCAGAGGGGACTGGGCACTGATGATGTTCTCTGAGATTCTGGTGTTATGCAGGGAAGGGGAGAGCTGCGTGGTGCTCCCTGAGGACCTCAGGCCCACCCCAGCCCCACTGTACCAGAATCTGCATGATGACAAGATGCCCGGGCCGTCGTGTGCACAGTAAAGACGAGACACTTGAAGCAGCAGTCTAGTCTCTGCTCCTGGGATGTGGATGGCTGATAGAGGGAAGCAGGATTTTTAAAATTTTATTTATTTACTTGTTTGTTTATTTATTTATTTTTAATCCTCACCCAAGGATATTTTTCTATTTATCTTCAGATAAAGTGGGAGGGAGGGAGAGAGACACATCGACTGGTTGCCTCCCACACGACCCCAACCAGGGTCAGGGACTGAACTGCAACCAAGATATGTGCCCTTGACTGGAATCGAACCCGTAACTCATTGGTCTGTGGGCCGATGCTCTAGTCTAACAGCTGAGCCAAACCAGCCAGGTCATTATTTATTTATTTTTTTTGGTTATCCTCACCCGAGGAAATTTTTCTGTAGCTTTTAATTAATTAATTAATTAATTAATTAATTAAATCCTCGCCCGAAGACATTTTTCCATTTTTTGTTCAGATGGAGTGGGAGGGAGAGAGAGGAAGAGAAAGAGAGAGAGAAACATCAACGTGAAAGGGACACATCGAGTGGCTGCCACCCGCATGACCAACCAGGGCCGGGGACAAACTGTAAGCGAGGTACGCGCCCTTAGTGGGAACTGAACCCGGGTCTCTATGGACCATGGGCCAACGCTCTAACCGCTGAGCCAAACCGGCCAGGGGCCCTGGCCGGTTTGGCTCAGCGGTTAGAGCCTAGGGCCCCTGGCCGGTTCGGCTCAGCGGTTAGAGCCTAGGGCCCCTGGCCGGTTTGGCTCAGCGGTTAGAGCCTAGGGCCCCTGGCCGGTTTGGCTCAGCGGTTAGAGCCTAGGGCCCCTGGCCGGTTTGGCTCAGCGGTTAGAGCGTCGGCCCATGGTCCAGAGAGACCCGGGTTCAGTTCCCACTAAGGGCGCGTACGTCGCTTACAGTTTGTCCCCGGCCCTGGTTGGTCATGCGGGTGGCAGCCACTCGATGTGTCCCTTTCACGTCGATGTTTCTCTCTCTCTCTCTCCCTCCCACTCTATCTGAACAAAAAAAGAAAGAAAAAATGTCCTCAAGTGAGGATAAAAAAAAAGAAAAAGTGGAAGGGAAGAAAGGAAGAAGAGAAAGAGAGAGAAAGAAACATAAATTGGTTGCCTCCCACATGACCCTGACTGGGCCAGGGATTGAACCTGCAACCCAGGTATGTGCTCTTGACCGGAATCAAACCCATGACCCTTCTGTCCGAAGGACAATGCTCTAACCACTGCCCAGCCAGGGTGGGAACACAGGATTTAAAATCAGGTCTGTCTAAGGCTGACGTCCTTGCTCTTAGACCGACCCACCCTTTCCATCTATGTGTGTCAACCGACACACAGTTAAACCTTGTGGAGTGAATCAACAAGTGAATCAACAAATGAATGAACAGAACCACATCCCTTGTGCTAACACAAACCTTTGGTCTTCTCCTTCCTTCTAGGTGGGAAGCTGGCCCACCATCAAAAGGCCATCCCCACAGCCCACTGAACTTTCATTATCAACTGTGCTACTGGGAAACAGCTTTCCTTGGCAGCACCCCTGGCGCCGCGCCAAGCTCTCAGACCCCGCCTAGGACCTGTCACCCCTCCAGTGAAGACCTATATCTTGTTCTGTGAGGACAGCCAGCCTGACCTGACCCAGGAGGCCACCCTGGATGGGGAACACTGCCCAGGCCAAGGGCACCCTGCTACCCTGCAGAGAGACTGTGACCCCAGCTTCCTCCCCAGTCAGCCCACTGTGCCCCCAGGAGGTTCCTGAATCCAACGGGACCTCCTTGAAGTTGGTGCCTGCAAGGTCTTTGGCTTGGGCAACACTCATGGACTCACTCAAGGCTTTCGCCTCCTGTGTCTGTGGGCAGAGAGATTAACTGGAAGAGCCTGACCATGGGAGGAGGGGGTTGGCATGCCAGGCTCACGTGTCCGGGGGCTGCAGTTCCCGGAACCCACTGCCTCTTTGCCAGGATCTGCAAAATGCCAGAAAAAGTACCACAGCTTTCTTGGAGCTTGGGTTCTTGGAGTCGGGGGACCGGATGGGGGAGGGGAGGGAAGAAGGGTTAAACAACCAAATAATATTTATTGGGCACTCACTGTGTGCCAGGCTCTGAGCTAGACGCTGGGATGGAACAGTGATAAGACAGATGGGTCTCCACCACGAAGGTGCTTATTCTCTAGCAAAGCAAACACAGAGAACAGACAGAGGGGCCAGAGAAGTGGCAGGGCCAAGTCATGTGAGGCCTCGCAGGTCACAATGAGGTCTTTGATTTTATTCTGAGATGGAGACCACTAGAAATTGTGAGCAGAGAGTGACATGAGCAGATCTACATTTTATAAAATTTCCCCTAGCCCTGGCTCAGTAGCTCAGTTGGTTAGACCGCTGTCCTGTGCACCAAGAGGTTGTGGGTTTGATTCCCGGTCAGGGCACATTCCTAAGTTGTGGGTTTGATCCCCTCTCGGAGCATATATGGGAGGTAGCCAATCAATGTTTCTCATGTTGATGTTTCTCTCTTTCTCTAAAAAGCAATAAAAACATATCCTCAGGTGAGGATTTTTTAAAAATCTGGATGACATAGGTCCCTTCCTCTCTCCTCTCCTTGTTAAGAATCACTGGACTAGATGAGTCCAAAGACAACTGGCAAAGGGAATTTGAGACCCTCAAGGAAAAGTGAGCCCTGTAACGGCACATCTAACTTTTCACCAGCAGGTGTCGCCCTATCATCGGACTACAGGGCATCCTGGTCCCCACCAGGCTGGGCAAGGTGGGAACCTGCTGGGCATGGATGGAGCCAGAGCCCTGGCGCCAGTGGCTCAGTGGGGTTTGTGTTTTCAGAAGCTAAACTTTCATTCTAACCTTTCATCCGGAGTAATGACTATTGATGTTTTTATGTGCACCACGCTCCACCTCAAGTTCCTTTCACACCAGCCCTGTGAGGTGGGTTCGATTTTTATTGCCATTTTACAGATGAGAAAACTGAGACACAGAGAGATGAAGTGATTTGCCCAAAGTTATCAACTAGAAAGAGGCAGAGTTCAAATCCAAACCCCAGCCAGTGTGAGTACACACCTGTGGTCAGAGCATCGTAACCCCGCACTATGCTGTAGGCTCTCCGTTCACATTTGTTGAATGAGTGAATGAAGGAAGAAGGAGCATTTTCCAAGGACCCAGCCTAGGGCCTGGCAGCAGGTAGGGAGTGTCTGGGGGACTGAACAGGTGAGTGGGGCCCTCACTGAGACGGGGCACACAGGTGGAGGAGAATAGCTCACTCTCTTCACCACAATCCTACGAGGTGCTAACCCATTTTACAGATGAGAAAACTGAAGCTCTAGTAGGTTAAGCAACTGGTCCAAGGTCACACAGCTAGTAAGTGGCAGAGCCAGGGTGGAAATGGAAGTAGTTTGATCTCAGAGCTTTAACAACTGACCATACTGAGAACCTGTTGAGAGAATGAATCAATGAATGATAGACTTTACTGAACCACCGAGTGAAAGTGTGAATAAGTGAGTGTGTCCCTAGATTGGCAGCCACGCTTAATTCAGGACTAAAATAAAATAAAATAAAATAAAATAACAAAATATAATAAAATAACAAAATAGCGAGGCCATTTTAAAATGGAGCCGGAGCTGCCATCCCAGAGGAACTACCCGGCTCCTCAAACCTTTGCAATGTTAAAATAAGGCAAAATAACCTTTGGACTGGGTCTCAAGCAACCTTATGCTCCAAAGACCTGTTTGCAGACAACAAAGCAGAGATTACAACTGAAAATGAAAACCATTTTTTTGGAATTAACACCAGTGATATCTGCACCTATGGAAATGCCTTCCTTCTACTGATGCAATTGTTCCTCTCCCTTTCTCATAGAAACCCCTTGACTTTCTTTTCTTTTTTTAGTTAATCCTCACCTGAGGATACTTTTTCCCATTGATTTTTAGAGAGAGGAAGGGATGGAGGGAGGGGGAGAGAGAGAGGGAGAAAGGAAGGAAAACATTTACTATCCTGCCCTCTCCTCTCTGGCTCCCTGGGACCAGGAGCCCTCTTTGTGCCCTTTGGGGAGGCACTAGTAGTCCAGACTCCCCTGGATGGCCATCTCTGGGCCCAGGCCCTGAGGGGACAGGCCTGGCTGGCTGCTGGCACTGAGCCCCAAGCCAGCTGTGCTGACTGTAAGCAACCCCCGCCCCCGCCTGGAGGCCCCTGCCTTGGTCACCCACTGAACTGATGCAAATCACCAAGCCCCTCAGGTCCCTGTCTTGTATGAGGGCAGAGCCAGAGTGGGTGGAACCTTGGTTTTCCTTGTTCAGAAAACATTTTAACAAGAGCTTAGCATTTATCAAGCTTATTCTAAAACATCACCTCTCTCTGGTTCCTCTCAGCTGCCTTGGGAGGGTGCTCTCTGATCTTTGTTTATGGATGAGGAAAGTTAGGCTTGGAGGCTTCCCTCTGCACCTCTACCCTGGGGCCAGACGGGCTGTTCTGGGGGGGCCAGGGGACCTTCCAGCTCTGCCCTTACCCGCCTTTCCTGGAGAAGACCCCAGGTACTGGGACAGCTCCTCTGGCCCTCCAGCCCATGTCTTGGACTTGATGACACCAAGGATAATGTGGGTGAGACTGGGGATCTCAGGGTTCAAATCTGTATGAAATAACAGCATCTGAGCCCTACTGGGCATTTCGGTGCATGGCATACGTGCGCTATGTCACTACCATGTGCCAAAGCTTTTCCATGCATCACAAAGTAACTCGATTAGCACCATTTTACTGTAGCACAGAGAGGTTAAGGCACTTGTTCAAGATAACACAGTGCAGTAGCAGTAGAACTAAGATTTGAACCCAGGTCATGTGGCTCCAGTGTTTGCAACTGACTCTCCACTCCACTCTTACTCTTTTTTTTTTTAATTTTCTTTATTGATTTTTAGAGGAAGAGAGAGAGAGAGAAACATCAATGAGAGAGAACATCAACTGGCCACCTGCTGCACGCCCCCCACTGGGGATTAGGTCCACAACCTGGGCATGTGCCCTGACCAGACATTGAACCTGCGACCTCTTGGTTCATGGGTCGACGCTTAACTACCGAGCTGCACCAGCTGGGCTGACCCTCCACTCTTTACTGAGGCTTGTTAGCTTTAAAAAAATCCTACAGACATTTACTTAGCTCTTTTCCCATGCCAGGCTTGGGAGCAAGAAGGCAGAATAAGGCCTTATGCTTCGGCCCTTGCACAGCTGGGACCCAAGGCAGATAGAGGGGTGGATGGGTGGAGGGGGCGCTGCGGGGTGCAGTGTGGGACATGGGGCTTACCTCTGGCTGGGGAAAGGTGAGTGGGAAGTTGGTCTGGTAGAAAAGCCCTGGCCTGAGGTTCCGGAGGTCTGGGTCTTCATTCCATCTCTGCCACTGACTTGCTGTGTGACCCTAGGCAAGGCCCTCCCCCTCCCTGATCCCACAGGGCTGGCCAACCAAGCCTGTGAGGCCCCAGGGTCTGCCCCTCCCATGTGCTCTTGCAAAAAAAAAGTATTATTATTCTGTTAATCCTCACCCAAGGATATATTTCCATTGATATTTTTTAGATAGAGTGGAAGGGAGGGAGAGGGAGAGAGAGAGAAACATCAAGGTGAGAGAGACACATAGATTGTTGCCTCCCACACGACCGTGACAGGGGCCAGGGTTGGAACCTCTAACCCAGGTACATGCCCTTGACCAGAATTGAACCTGTGACCCTTCGGTCTGCAGGCTGATGCTCTAACGGCCGATGAACCAAACCAGTCAGGACCCATGTGCTCTTTTAAGGTGAGTTTGAATTTCTGTTGAAAACAAGGTGTGGCCCTAGCCGGTTTTGCTCAGTGGTTAGAGTCGGCCTGCGGTCCAGAGAGACCCGGGTTCGGTTCCCGCTAAGGGCATGTACCTCGGTTGCAGTTTGTCCCCGGCCCTGGATGGGTTGTGCGGGTGGCAGCCACTCGATGTGTCCCTTTCACATCGATGTTTCTCTCTCTCTCTCTCCTTCCCACTCTATCTGAACAAAAAATGGAAAAATGTCCTCGGGTGAGGATTAAAAAAAAAAAAAAGAAAACAAGGTGTGGATCTAGAGTTCTTTGAGCCCGACTGTGACTCTGAGTGGTAGCTCTGGAAGGCTTTCTGGAGGAGGAGGCTTTTGGCTTGGGATAGATCTTTAAAGTAAGTCCTCCTAGGTCCTCCGCACCCCTCAGGATCTCCGACAACACCCAACCTGGACCTTCTCACGGTTCTCTCGCTCTGGGTGGTGCCTTCTTTTCAACTTCCCCTGCCCCTGCCCAGGCCCACTCCAAAAGCTGTGAGATGTGCAGTGCCCTCTGCGGGATGCCAGGAAGGGGGGGGGGAGTTGCCTTGGTAGGACCCCTGGTGGTGGGGGTCACAGATCTGGGCTGACCCTGCAGAGGGCTTTCCAGAGCCACAGTCAAGGATTCAAATCCCAGCCATGCCACTTCCAAGCTGGGTGACCTTGGGCCTGTTGCTTGACCTCTCTGAACCTGCATGCCCTCCTTGGTACCCACCTTGCAGGACTGTTGTAGGAATGAGCAGTGTGCTTGGCACACTCTGGGCTCTCAATGAATGGGACTGCTATAATTATTCTGTCAAGGTGGGGGCCCAGCCCCCCCCCAGGCCTATATTTAGCCTGGAAGGGGTGGGGGGCCCTAGAAGACAAAGCGTTGCTGCCGGCTGGAGCCTCGGGGGCGGAGCCGAGGAGAGCGAGCCTGCTGGCCCCTCCTCCCACCCTCCTCTCCACAGGGTCACCTTGGCTGGAAGGCTTCCTCAGTCTGGACGTGTCCTGTCCCCAGAGGGCTCTGTCCTCTGCCCGACCCTCATCTCCCAAACCCCGGTGTGGGGAGGGGGCGGCTGGGGTGTGGGGGTTGGGGGTGGAAAGTATTCGGCCCCATTAGCCACGTGGGGAGCTGATCCCTTTCCCAGCCAGGGCCAGGGTGGGGGGCCTTGGCTGGGGTCCGATGCCAAGGTAAGCCTGCCCCAGCAGGTGGGAGTGTGGGAGTCGAGGAAGGGTGGGGGCTGGTCGCGCTCCTCCCCCAAACCCCTGGCTGATGAGTGTTGGGGCTGCAAATAGCTCAGTGGAATCGGTGAGTCACAGCGGCTGGAAATACCGGCCCACCCTCCCTCCCTCGTGCTTGCAGCTCCAGCGCACTGGGCACTGGCCGGGCCTGGCGACTTCGGGGGCACCTGGTGGGGTGTGTGTGTGTGTGTGTGTGAGGGGTCCCCCCAGACAGCAGCCAGACTCCCTGAACTAGCCAACACCCCGGCCAAGTTTCAGTCTGGCTCTGCCCCAGGGCCTGTGTGACCCTGGGCCAATCGCTCAGCCTCTCTGATCCCCAGTGGGCATCTGCTACAAGATAGGCTTCAGGAAGGCAAGGACTCAGTGCAGCGGACCCACCCCTGGTGTCCCTGCGCCTGACAGTGCCTGGCCATAGCAGCAGGTGCTGCTGGCGGCTGGAAGAGAAGGCACTGCACGGTTCTTCACGGAAATAATTCCGAGTCCTGCCCAGGCGGGTCTGGGAGTCAAGGAAGGGGGCCAAAGGACACCCACATTTCTGTAAGGTCTTGAGCTATCACCCCCACCCCAAAATCTCAAGGAAGGCATGTTTGTTTATCCTGGGGTTTCCCACCCCAGCTGCCTCCAAACCCACCCCAAGTTTGAGAACTTCAGCCAGGTGGTCTCCAGAAGTCTGTGATTCTGTCCTTTATTATGTGTGCAGGGTACAATGCCAGGACCCTCCCGTGCCCCCTCCCCCAGTCATCCCCTGGGGGCCTCAGAATGGTAGGGGTGAGAGGCCACCCTACAGAACACAGACCGGGGCACAGAGAGTAGAGGCTGGCCCCAGGGGGCCCCCACTAACTGTGAACCACCCCGCCCCTTACTCCAGTTTTTGTGTGTGGAGACTGAGCCAGGCTCACCGCGGGCAGCAGAGGCGCCCCAGAATGAAGGCTGTCTGGAGGTCCCTGCCCTGGCCTGGGGACTCGGAGGGAACTGGGTTGGGGGCAGTCTCCAGCAGAAAGATGGGGGGCAGGGGGCATAGGCCAAGGGAGGCAGAGAGAGGGGAACTACTTCCCAGGGCACAGAGGGGTGGGGGGCATTTTGAGAGCAGCTTCCGACTTCCTGGGTTGGAATCCAACCTTTGGTGAGCAAGTTGGACATTCAGCTGCTCAGAGACTCAGTTTCCCCGTTGATAAAAAGGAAATTGCAATCTGATTTTAGAATTCCGAACTTGGACTCAGCCGATGGTAATGCTTAGCATTTGAAGGGCGGCAGGTGCGTGTCCGCTGTGTGGTACACACACCGAACCCTAGATGCACAGACTGGAGGGGAAGGACGGAGCAGGCCACTGGCCATGGGGAAGGTCGGCAAGACACTGGTCTACCTTCAGACCCAAAGCCCCACCATGCTCTCTCCCCCACCTCTGCTCGGGACGCCCCAGGAGCCAGGCCTGGGGGAGCAGTGGGGTGGTTGAAGGACCAGCCCCGCCCTCAGCCTGGCTTTGCCTGGGGACATGAGCAGGTGACAGATGGCAGGAGTTTCACAAGGTTTATCACGAACCAGCTGTATTGGAAAAACCCCATCTGTATACAGACACAATGTGGCCCTGTCCTGGCACAGCTGGCGGGATGGGGGCACCAGGTGGGCAGGCAGCCTGACAGCTGGTTTGGGGCTTAGAGAGTGGAAAAGGGGAGGGTTCCATTATGGCTGTCTTCTTCTGGCCCCCCTGGCCCCCTGGAGATCTGCCTGTGCCTCACCTTCTGCCTCTCCTGCTGCCCTTGGCCAGTGGGGTCCCAGGTCCCCTTCTCGCCCCTGCCCTGCAGAGACTCCGCAGGTCACCTGTCTGTCCCGCAGATTAGTTGCCCAGAGATCCTGCCTCTCCTCATCTCCCTTCCCCAAGGGGGTTCCTTGGGATCTTCCTTTCCCCACCCCAGTTGCTGTTCTAGATTGAGCAAAAGGCCACATCTGGAATCTGGGGCCACAGGTAGGCAAGGGGGCCCGGCCTGTCCTGGGCAGAGCAGAAGGCCTGGTTGGGATCTTGGGGTGTCAGGGCTGGAACTTGGGTTGAGATGTCCTGGAAGATGTCATTAGGGGGTTAGGAAAACTCTGGCAGACCAGTGGGGGTGGGGGTGGGGGAGCCGGGGGAGGGCCGGGGAAGGGAGAGGCCCTCAGATTTTGATTTCTGTCCGGAAGGTCTGTTGGACATGCTCTGTGTGCGGGTGTCGCCGCGCCCGGATGGTGAGGCTGCCGTCCTCCCTCAGGGCCGAGGTCACCGAGGTGGGGTCCACGTCCTCCGGCAGCTGGCACTTGTGGGCGAAGGTATTCATGACCGTGCCATCAGCTGCCAGCTGGGGGAGAGCGATGGGTCAGGGCAGGCTGCCCCCCACCCTTGTGTGGCTCATGTCAAGCCACAGGCCCTTCTCCCCAGTCTAAGCCCAGCTTCGCCCCAGTCTAAACCCAGCTGGGCCCACACCCGACGTGGGGTTCCGCTGTGAGGTGTGGAGGAGGCCCGGGGGAGGGTCTGGCTAGGATGAGGGCGGCCACAAGCTGAGGGCTATGCAGGGACAGGTGCAGAGGTGCTCAGATGAGTCCAAAGGTCCCAACAGGTAGGCAATAGGCTTGGGGGGCCGGGGCTCAGAAACAGAGGAGGTTTGGTGGCAGAATCGGGCTCCTGAGCAATGAGGAGAAGGTGGCACAGGGCAGAGCCCGGCCCTCTGGGACACCCAGACACACTGGGTGTCCACAGTCAGGGCTGGGCTGGCGGCCCTTCCCCCACGGCTTGGTCAGCACATAGTGTTCAGAGGAGCCTCGGGTGGCTGAGTCACTGGTGGGGGTGGCAGGGCTAACAACATGCTGCCCACTGGTCCTGGTGCCCGCAGTCCTGGCTTCTGACAGGGTGCCCAGGCATCTAGCATCCTGTGCTCAGGGAGGGCGCCGGGCACCGGGGATCTAGCCAAAGCCTCAGGCAGCCCCGCTCCTTTAACGGGCACCTGGGTTGTGGCCCACGGGGCACAGCATCCCTGCCCCGGTTGGGCCACACCTTCCTCCAGGGTGCAGGCCTCCTGGGAGCTGGAACAGAGACCCCCGTGACCCAGTGACCCTGAGACCCATAGGTAGAGGGGGTGTGGGGTTTGGAGTGTATGATCCTGAACTGCAGGGACTCTAAATCAGGGGTCCCAGGATGGGGGCTGGGCCTCAGGATTCCAGAGGGAAGAGGGCGTGATGGGAGTCAGTGGGGGAGCTGTTCCCACAGCTCCCAGGTGAGCCCCCCACATGCCTGCCAGAAGATCTCTCCCCACTCAACCAGTTTCCCTCCTCTCATCCCCCCCTCACCTCACCGCTCAGTGCCCATGCCTGCATCGCTCCACCCCCCCACCCCCCTGTGGCTCCCTCAGCCGCGCTGGCTCCTGAAACACAGGTCCTGGGGCAGAGAGAGGCAGAGACGGGGATCCCGAGGCCCATGAGCTACAAGAGCAAGGTCTCCAGTTTGCCCTAGGGAATTGAGGGGACATGGGAATGGGGACACAGGGCAGAGTGTACAGGTGCAGAACCGGGGGTCCGGGTGGGGTGGGCAGGCTCACCTTCTCAGCTCGCACCTCGATGTGGTTGTTGGACGTGGTGACGATGATGTCTTCAGGGGAGAAGTCGCTCACGTCCACTGCAAACTCATAGGCATCTCCCAGTGTCTTGATGTTGCCCGGCCCCCCAGAACGGGCTGTGGGGAGGGCTGCCGTGAGCTGAGCACAGAGCAGGCTCGCACCCAGAACTCAGGTTTCTGGCTCCTTCTCCTGGGGAGAGGGGAGGCCCTCCAGGCCTAACTTCCCTATTGCTCCTAACCGCCCTGCCCACCCCTCCTCACCTCTTGCAGCCTGCCTTCTCCACGGCAGGATGCCGTGTGTGTGTGTGTGTGTGTGTGTGTGTGTGTCACTGTCTGTAGCATCCCACCCACACCTGGAGTGGAGGATGCATGCCACCCCTCAACCTCACGCAGCCTTCCAGAGCTCCAGCAAGGACCTGGCCACAGGCCCTGTGTGGCCACTGACACCATAGGCTGACCCCTGGTCACAACCGTTCCTTGGAGGCCTGCCTATTCTCGTGGCCACATCTGTCCCTGTGGCCACATCTGTCCTAGTGGCCACATGTAGCTGCAGCAATGAGGCACCTGCTCCTGGCAGCTCAGCAACCGCAGCAACTTTCAGAGGTGCTGGGAGCTGGTGTCCCCTCCCCGAGCGTCTCCCGCTCGCTCAGAGCCCGAGCACTTGCCTGGGAAGGTCAGGGGCTCCGAGTGGGGCCGCATGAAGCTGCCAAAATCCTCAGAAAACATGCTCAAGGCCTTCTCCATGGGTGGGTCCTGGGCTGGGAGGGCTCGGGCTGCAGAGGACGAGGACGAGGAGGAGGAGGAGGAGGAGGAGTGGAAGCTTCTCTCCGCTCTGAAGCTGGAGGAGGTCCGGTGGCTCATCCACGGGGCAGCCGGGCCCTGGCCAGGCGGGCAGGGGTGGACAGAAAGGGTGTGGGCGGCAGGCTCCGGGGGAGCGTGCAGGGCCCTGACTGCCGGTGCTTTATAAGGCCCGACCGTCCCGGGCTCGGGGCCAGCCCCTTGTCTACTAGCTAAATTTAGGCCTCGCTGTGGCCCAGAGGGGGCTGGAAATCTTCTCCAGCGAGACGGTCCTGCTGACAGTCCAACACACGCGGGCCCGTGAGGCTGAGCTCATAGCCTGGCATTCCAGGCCCATAACGCCAGCCTGGGGCCTCGGCACCGCAGCGGGGAGCGGGCCAGAGCTGTCCCCTTGCCACTCAGACCCCCGTGCCCAGGCCCTTGTGGGGGGCAGTTCTGTCTCCATCTTCCCCACCAGCCGGGGCTCTCAAGGACCGTGCCTCCCCCACCAGGTTGCAAACCCTGCAGCTTTTCTAGCTCCTGTCCCCTCTCCCCAAAGTTCCAGCCCTTGGTAAAGAGGGGAGCTGGGTGGTGGAGGGTCAGGGCAGAGGGGCCTAAGCCATAGCTCTGGGGACAGCACGAGATGCCTGGTCAGGAGGTCAAGAGTGTGTGAGGTGAGGGGTCCTCCCCTCAGGGGAGATGCTGTTTACTGCATCTCTTAGGAGGACTGGGGGTGGGGGGGTAGAATGTGCAGCTGTCCCCCTACCAGCTCCCACTGGGACCCAGATTCCATGCTTGCACCCCCTCCCTGCCATACACACTCTGGAACATTACGGGCCCCAAGAGGAGAAAGCTAACAGCCTGAGGCAGGGCTGGGAGTTGGGCCCCAACTCAGGTAATTTGGTAATTGTCCTGAAAGACCTAGGAGGTTATATTTCTGGGAACTCTGCTTGACCTCCCGCTCAGAGGAGACGTCGGGGACTGCAGGGGCAGGAGTCCGTGAGAGACAGAGTCCCGGAAGACAATGATTCCAGCTCTGGCTTTGACCCCCACACAGCTCTGGAAGGAGGCGTCGTTCCCATTTTATAGACGGAGAAGCAGCCGCACAGGGAGGGCGGGCTTGCACTGGGTGAGCGGCAGAACTGGAATTCAAACCAGACACATCTGGTCCAAAGCCCTCTAGGGGGCCGGGCGACCTGAACATACATTTTTGGAGATGCACTGGCCCGGAAGACCCCGAGAAGCCTCTGTCTGTCACCCACGGTTCAGCAGAGCCAGGACTGACGTGGGTGGGGCAGGGAAAGGCCATTCCGGGAGGGGAGAGGGTCCTTAGCTGCTGCCCAGCTCTCCTCTCCAATCCTGCCTTCCCCCCCCATGCAGGCCTCTCTGACTGCTGCAGCCCTGTCCCGATGCCCACCCCAGCACCTGGCAGTGTAACCTGGTCTTCCTGTGTCTATGACTTCTTTGCTGTCCCCTCGTCTATCAGGCTGGCCGTTCCTCCAGGGCAGGGGTTCACCTGTGTCCCCATTGGATTGGGCTCTCCTGAAGGTGGACACTGTTTCTCTTTTCTCTGGCTCCCACAGAACTGCACTCTTGTGGTTCCATCTATGGGGTAATTCTGGTGCTTGGTCCCTGAAGTGGGGCCAAAGCACTGGCTGGAGAAAGAGGGGTCTGTCGCCCCAGTGGAGACTTTGCCTGTCCCATGGCACCCATCCTGGCCCAGGGGGCTGCCAGGAAGTTACCAGCACTGAGGCAAGATGGAAAGAGGGTGGGGGTGGGGTGGGGGGGCCCAGAAGCCTGCCGCCCGCCAGGGAAACAGGAGCCAGTGGCTAAATGCAGACACACTGTCATGGTGCTGAGGGCCTGAGTCACTGCTCCTGGAGTCAGACCTCATTCCCCACCCCTGCCCACCGTGCCTCCTCCCCTCCCCCCCACCCCTAGGCGTCACCCACACATATACTGCATCCACTGGCTTCAGTGGCCAGGAGGGACCCTGAAAGGTCATCGAGGACATTCCCCTGTCTCTGGGCTTGGCTCTCCCTTCAGCTCACAGGGATAGAAGGAGCTTCAGAGATGATCAGATGCTTGATTCCCAAACCTGCCAGGGCATCCCAACCACCGGGGGCATTTGAACAAACAGAGTCTTACCCTGCACCCCAAGATTCTAATTTAGGGTTCTGGGGAGGGCGTCTGTTTCCATCAGCTCCCCACACAGCCAGCCCACAGGCCAGTGTTTGGAAACCACTCAGCAGTTATTTAAAAAAAGTTTTTTTTCTTTATTGATTTTAGGGAGAGGGGAAGGGAGAGGGGGAGAGGGATAGAAACATCGATGAGAGAGAACATCGATGAGAGAGAACATCATCAATCGGCCACCTCCTGCATGCCCCCCACTGGGGATTGGGTCCACAACCTGGGCATGTGCCCTGACCGGGAATTGAACTGGAGACTTCTTGGTGCCTGGGTCGACGCTCAACCACTGAGCCACACCAGCTGGGCACTCAGTAGTTACTTATTGAACACCTACTATGTGCAAGGCACCGTTCCAGGTTCTGGAGTCTGGTATGAATGAGGCAGGGAGGCCCCTGCCCCCATAGCTCCCAGGCTACCCTTGTTGGGCAGAAGAGGAAACCAAGGTTCTGAGTGGTGGGGGACCAGTTGCAGGGGGCAGAGATGCTCAGGCTTCGAGCCTGTTCTCCTCTTCCCTGCTGCTGGCGCTCAGTGACGAAGGGGGAGAAGTTGAGGGACTGGCATGTGGGGGAAATGGCTTTGCGAGGGACTTGCCACGGGCACCACACCTCCTTGCTGCCCTCTTCCCAGTTTCCTGGTGCTCACAGGTCGGGGGTGAGGGTGTGGGCGTCCCGTGCCTGCTGACTGGTGATACTGGCTGTGTGATTGTAGCCAGCAGCGGCTGGAGGCCAGAGATGGGTTTGGGATGTCAATAGGGTGGCCAGTCAACAGTTTGGGGTGGCCAAGGTGAAGGTGGGCCCCACCCCACATCCCACACAACACACACACATGCCCCTATTTGGGATTGACTTGGCCTGGCACCTAGGGGCAGAGGATGGCTGGGGGCTCGGGATTTTAACAAGTCATTGAAGAGTCATCATGATTTTCAGAGGGGAGGGGGTTTTCTTAGGGGAGGGGGAGAAGGCAGTTGTCCCAGATCTCTTGCCCAAATCTCTCGAAAGTGGCATCAGACAAAAATCCTCTGCTTTGCAGCCAAACCTTGCCCTGGTTGATTCAGCCACGGGAGTTTGAGGAGCTCCAGGTGGGGGAAAAGCCACACAGTCCAGGTCTGGGTTCAGCCTCTGCTGTGTGACTTTAGATAAGTGACCGTACCTCTCTGATCCTCCATTTATCATCTGCAAAATGGTGATGCTGTCCCTGAATCAGTCCGCTGGGAGGGTGAACTGAGCTCTAGACTTAAAAGTCCTGGGCCCTGGCCGGTTTGGCTCAGCGGTTAGAGCGTCGGCCTGCGGTCCTGAGAGACCCGGGTTCGGTTCCCGCTAAGGGCGCGTACCTAGGTTGCAGTTTGTCCCCGGCCCTGGTCTGTTGTGCGGGTGGCAGCCACTCGATGTGTCCCTTCACATCGATGTTCCTCTCTCTCCCCCCCACTTTACCTGAACAAAAAATGGAAAAATGTCCTCGGGTGAGGATTAAAAAAAAAAAAAAAAAAAGTCCTGGACGTAGCCAGGTGTGCTTATTCCCTTACCATGCCCCACTCCCATACCCCATCCTGGCTCCTACCCTCTGTTTGGGGTGCCACAGAGTCTGGGTACCCAGAAGTGCTGTGATAGAGGCACTTTCCTGAGATTGGATGAGCTGGACACAAGGATCGAGTCTAAGTTCCTCCCAGGCCCTGGCCGCTGGGACTCACCTCTGCTTCAGCTTGTTGGCCTCCTCGCCACCTCTGAGTGAGGTGGGCTCAGGGCAGGACCGCGGACGCTGTGCAGGCTTCGGAGCCAGGCTACCCGGGGGAGTCCCAGCTCCGCCGCTTGACTCTGTGACCTTGGACACACAGCCTTGCGTCTCTGAGACTCCATTTCTGTATGTGGGGATAATGCCGCCCCCCTCGGGCTCCGTGAGCACTCACGGAGTGTGGGTTGTTGACACACAGCAAAGGGGCGGTGATGGCAGTGCCCTCACCTCTGCCCTGCCCTTCCTCCCCTCTTCCTTCTCTGCCTTTTCAAACCCCTTCCATCCCCAGCCCTGACCCTCAGCCCCCCAGATGACCCTCGCCATCCTGCTGTGTGAATGAAGTCTGCCACCAGGGCCCAGGGCCACCCCGCCTGCAGCAGGCTCTGCGGCTCTGGTGGGTGTCGGGAAGCCCTGCTCCCGGCTCCTTCTGGCTGCTCCGGGCTGCGCGGCTCAGTGGGCCTGGGCGGTTCCAGTTGGTTTGTCAAGGGCATTCTTAATGGCCACAGTAATCCCCGGCAGGGCGGGGTGGGGGAGGGAGGGGTGTTGATTGGTGGAACATACACCTGTGCAGGTGCACTGAGCTGCAGGCGACGGGGTCTGTCGGAGAAGGGCAGCCTGGCAGCACAGCAGGGTAGCCGGCCACAGGTGAGGAGCTGCTGGGGCAGAGCTGAGGATGGACTTGGAGGGAGTTTGCCCGGTCGAGCAGGGCAGGAGCAGGAGGGTGGGGGCCAGGGAGCCAGCATCTCATTTCGACCTTCCGTATGGGCTTGGTGGTTTTCTGCCTTTGTGGTCTGAGCAGAGGGGGAGGGGGCTGGGGAGGGGCACAAGGAGTCAGAGCAGTCCAGGGGGACTCACAGTGGGAGTGACTTCACTGGGCAAGGAGACTGTCCCGAGCGGTGGAAGCAGACACATGTCGGGGAGGGTCGGAGCGGTGGCCACAGGAGGGGGAAGGGGGCCTTGAGACTTGGGGACCTGCTTTAACCAATCTGCAGCTGCACAGGAGGGGCACAGATAGGAACCCCCACCCCACCCCACACATTACACACACATGCACACCCTCAGTGACATGCCAGGGCCTATGTCCCTCCTGATAGCTTTACAGGTGCGCGCACACACGCACACACATGCACACACACGCATAGGGAAAGGCCACCTCTCCTTTCTATCTGGGAACTGGCAACACTGGAAGGGCCAAGGGCAGTGTAAGGGCGCCGAGCAGCTCACTGAGAGTCCGGTTCTGTGGTTGCTCCAGGGACCAGATGGAGGAGCTGGTAGGGCTGCGTGAAGGCTCCTCGGGGGACCCCGTGACCCTTCAGGAGCTGTGGGGCCCGTGTCCCCGCATCCGCCGAGGCATCCGAGGTGAGAGCTAGGTCCCCTTCTTCTCCCCATGGAAGACCCTTCGGGACATCGCCCCCTGCAGGCTGCACCTCTCCCACCCCCTGAGAGCCCTCCTTTTGCTTGCCCTGGACATCGCTGCCCAGTCTCCTGGTGGCAGGGAGGGAAGGGATCTGTCTGTCCATCTGTCTGTGGGTCAGGCATGCTAGACGCCTGCCTCTGCCTTTTGGGAATGCAGTCCCGAGGCCTGATCACCGTGTGAGGGGCCTTGTTAGGGGCCCAGAGGGTGCTCTCCGGCCCAACACCAGCCCCACAGGTCCTGGCATAACACAGGATCTTGCTGGACGCTTGTGTTCGCTAAGCCATGGACCTTGAGGCGATACCAGAGAAAGCTGTAGCTCCCAGCACCCCTCCACACCCCTGCCCCTTGATCATGCTTCCATAAGTACCCCAATACGGAGCAGGGGTGGGGAGAGGGTAGACCTGTCAAAGGCCCCCTGTGCTGCCACCTTCCCGCTCTGCCCCTCATGTGAGGCAGAGCCCCCTCCAGGCGACCCTGGACTGGACTACCTGCCCCAGCCTGCCCTGAACAGCAGGCTGCCAGGGAAGGGGCTGTCCATGCCCCACCTGGCTCTGGGCATGACCCTGTACCCCTGTGCCAGGAGGCTTGGAGTGGCTGAAGCAGAGGCTGTTCCGTGTGGGTGAGGACTGGTACTTCCTGATGACCCTCGGGGTGCTCATGGCCCTGATCAGCTACACCATGAGCTTCATGGTGGGGCGTGTGGTCCGAGGTAAGCACTCCCTGGCACGCATGCCTGCTCTGGACCCAGCTGCTGAGCACGCTCTCGGGGACGCCTGATGCACCACCAGGTGCAGCGGGGTGGGGGAGGGGTCCATGAGGAGGAGGCCTGGGTCTGGTCCCAGCATTGCTCTTGACTTGCTGTGTGACCCTGGATAAGTTCCTGCCCATCTCTGGGCCTCAGTCTCCTCAACTGCACAGTGAGGCGAGAAACCAGAATGTTCCCAAGAGGCTTTTCTGTCGTCAGAACTCTGTCCCCCTCTTCCTGCCACTGGGCTCCCTCTCCTCCCTCCCTCCTTGCTCTCAACTCGGTAGCTCTGGGGGAGGGCACTTGCCTAGACCACTAGGCCTCAGCAGAACTCTCTCCACCATGAGGGCTCCCTGGAGGAGGAGGTGTGGGGCCGGAAGGGTGTAACACACCTTCTCTGGGAGACTTGCTCAGGTGTCACCACGAGGACCTGCTCTGCACCAGACATTGTCTGGGGAGCTTTACACCCTTATTTCTCACAATGACCCTGAGAGGGAGGTACCATCACTAGCCCATTTGACAGACAGGAAAACAGAGGCTCTGAGAGGTTGAGTTGCTGGCCCAAGGTCCCTCAGCCAGGGAGTGGCAAAGCTGGGTAGGGACCCAGCATCCTGCTCCTGCCTCCTCTTGGGGATCTGCCACTCCCTGTGTGGCCAGGGCCTCCCCGCTCCAAGCCTGTGTTTGTTGGTCAGTAAGCGGGCACCCGAGGGCTGCAGAGTCTGTGGGTGGTCCCTGATTCTGGCTGTCCCCAGCACACAAGTGGCTGTACCGGGAGATTGGCGATAGCCACCTGCTTCGATACCTCTCCTGGACTGTGTACCCCATGGCACTGGTCTCCTTCTCCTCGGGCTTCTCGCAGAGCATCACACCCTTCTCGGGAGGTGAGCCCAGTCGCCGCCACTTGCCTGTGCGCCTTGCGTCCCTCCCCACTGGCCCAAACCTTCTCATCTCCCTCGGGCTTTTAATGGTGGAGGCAGGAAGCAGGACTCAGGGAAGTCATTTCACTTGCCCAAATTCACACCGCGAGAAGTCACACCGATCGCTGATGGCTCTGGTCCCTTTCTGAGAGCTTTTCTGGGCCGTAACAGGGGAGACCTGGCGGCAGGTTCCCCGGCAGGGCTGGTGCCAAGGGTATTCCTAGGGAGGGGCCGAGGGAGGGCACAGCTCCCAGGGCCTCTCAGCTCTGCCTCAGCTCCAGGTCAGCAGATGGGAACTCCAGGGGAGCGTCCAGGGTGGCCTGAGATTCTACCCTGGGTCTCCCCCTCGCCCTGGTCTTCACAGCCATCTGCCAGGCCCAGCGGGAAGGATACGCACCACTCACAGCCCCCTTCTGACCCTCAGCTTCCTCATCTGAAAAATGGGTTTAGGAATCTTAATCCCTAGGGTTTAAAAGGACCTGACCCGAGGGTGGTGAGAAACACTGCAGGGTAGAGTGTTGAGTTTAATGCAAAGATTGTCCCTCCTGCTGCCAAGGCTCTGGGATCCCGGAGCTGAAGACCATCTTGTCTGGCGTGGTCTTGGAGGACTACCTGGACATCAAGAACTTCGGGGCCAAGGTGGTGGGCCTCACCTGCACCCTGGCCAGCGGCAGCACCATCTTCCTGGGCAAAGTGGTATGAGCAGGCCTGAGAGCACCCCCACTTCTGCCTTTTCCCTGTCTCCTCCCCAAAGCTGGGTCAGATGGGACTCAGGCCAAGGCCTGCCTTGTGGGGCTCGGTCTTGGGGAGGAGGCAGGTGGGGTCTCCAGAGTGTGACAAAGGGGCTGGGGAGACAGCAGAGGTGAATGAGGTGGGGCAAGCCCGCTGTGAGGTTCCCTCTGCCCCAACCCTGAGCCCTGAGAGGGAGGAGCCAGGTGAGCTGTGTCCCCCTCCCGGCAGGGCCCCTTTGTGCACCTGTGTGTGATGATGGCTGCCTACCTGGGCCGCGTGCGCACCAAGACCACCGGGGAATCTGAGGTGAGGGGCCCGGGGAGGCCCCCTTGGAGGACTGAGGGGGAGGGGAGGCGGCGATCCTGAGCCCGGGCTGCGGCTCTCCCCAGAACAAGATCAAGCAGAACGAGATGCTGGTGGCGGCGGCGGCAGTGGGCGTGGCCACCGTCTTCGCAGCCCCCTTCAGCGGTGAGACCCTCTCCCCGGGCTGCCCCGCACCCTGGGGCTCCCCGCAGCCCTCCCCCGGAGGGGCCAGACTGGCCAGCTCCCTCCTCTGCCCACTGAGGGGCCTGAGTTCCTACAGCAGTCCTGCGGCTCGGGTGGGGGTGAGGAAGCCGGTGTAGGGGGGCGCTTCAAGGTCGCCTTGGACAGACGGTGAGACCCAGTTCTCCGCGTGGCCCTGGACCAGGGAGTCACCTTATTCCTCATCTGGGCAATGGGATCACAACAGTCCCACCCCAGGGCTGTTGCGAGGGTTGCGGTGGCTGAGAAGGGTGCCCGGGCATGTTCCGCGGGCAGCCCAGCGCCCGCCCTGCCACCCCGCGCTTCGGCTTCTGCAGGACCGAGGGAAGGGCCGCCCTGCCCCGGGCCACGGAGAGCAGGACTGGGGGTCAGGGCACGGGTGGCTGGAGGTGGGGCTCTGCCTAAGCTCAGTGTCGCCCCCAGGTGTCCTGTTCAGCATCGAGGTGATGTCTTCCCACTTCTCCGTCTGGGATTACTGGAGGGGCTTCTTCGCCGCCACCTGCGGGGCCTTCATGTTCCGCCTCCTGGCGGTCTTCAACAGCGAGCAGGGTGAGTCCCCGCTGGGTCACCTGGCACCCCCATCCTTCCTCCTGTCTTTTCTTCCCTCTCCCCTTTTCTTCCGCTCCCATTCCCCCGTCTCCTAGGAGGATAAGAGGGAGCTGCCCTGTATTGGGCATGAATGGTGGGGGGCCCTGGGGGTGGAAAGGGCAAGGCTGGGAGGGGGCAGGGCCAGGGCTGGGGTGGGAGTGACCCCCACGCCCCTCCCTGCCAGGGACCATCACCTCCCTCTTCAAGACCAGCTTCCCGGTGGACGTCCCCTTCGACCTGCCAGAGATCTTCTTTTTTGTGGCGCTAGGGTGAGTGGGTGCCCGGGGCCCCTGGAGCCCAACATGGGGCCTCCCCCAGGCCTGGACTGCTGCCCTTGGTTCCGGGAGGGGCTCTGGACTCACCTGCCCTCCCCGCAGGGCCGTCTGTGGCATCCTGAGCTGTGCTTACCTCTTCTGTCAGCGAACATTCCTCACCTTCGTCAAGACTAATCCTGTCACCTCCAAGCTGCTGGCTACCAGGTGGGCTCCGGCCGGGCCGACCTCCCAGGGAGACCCTTCCCAGGAGCTCAGCCTTCTGAGCCCACAACTCCTCCATATAGAGAGCCCCACCCCTGACGGCACCCATCTTCCTACTGAGCCCCCAAGCCTCTTTAGCCCACACCCCACTTATGGAGCCCCCATTCCCTCATCACACCTCTCTCCAGGTCCCCACAGTCACTGCTCCCCTGTTTATAGGGCTAGCAACCCCTCCATGTAACCCCTACCTCTCCTGAGTCCTCACTTCCTCACTGAACCCCCAACTGCCATGAGCTCCAAGCCCCTTACTGAGCCCCCCTCCTCCTAGACCTTGTCTGCCCCCTGGCATTGGCCCTTCAGGTCAGCCCTCGACGGGCCCATACACCGCCCACCCCGGCCTGGCTGGGCTCTGTGCGGCCCCAGCAGGGCTCAGCCCCGCCCTGTTTCAGACACCTGGTGGACTGACCCCAAACCCTCTTGCTCTGGAGAGGGCCAGGCCTGTGCCTCTGCTTCAGCTGCTCTTCCTCCTGATCCTGCCTCAGTGCCAGCCCCCAGGATGGTGGGGCCATGGGGTGGGGGCAGAGGGCAGAGCGGGCCTGAGCTTTCCTCCCCCACCCCCACAGCAAGCCGCTGTACTCCGCCCTGGCGGCCTTGGTTCTCGCCTCCATCACCTACCCCCCTGGCGTGGGCCGCTTCATGGCTTCTCGGGTAAGGGCCCTGAGCTGGGGCGGCGGGAGTGGCGAAACCCGGTTGCTGCCCACTTAGTTCCTGTCATCTCGCTTAACCCCCATGACACCTAGAAGGGGAGGCTCCAAGTTCCCCCCTCCGTGGGAAATGGCACAGAGGAGGGGAGGCCAGGTCAGGCTGGGACAGGGTGGCAGGGATGGCTGCTCAGCCCCCTCCTGCCAAATTCCCACCTACCCCTGCTGCAGCTGTCCATGAAAGAGCACCTGGACACTCTGTTTGACAACAACTCGTGGGCACTGATGACCCGGAACTCGTCCCCACCCTGGCCCGCGGAGCCTGATCCCCAGAACCTGTGGTTTGAGTGGTACCACCCACGGTTCACCGTCTTTGGGACTCTTGCCTTCTTCCTAGTTATGAAGGTGGGCACCCCGGGGGCCCCTAGGGGTGTGCTCAGAGTCATGGGTGGGGTGGGAGGTGCAGGCAGCACAAGCCTGGGTCTTCTACCTGGGCTCCCTGAGCTTCGGTTTCCTTGTCTTTAAAATGGGACCCTTATTGTACCTACTCAAAGGTACGGCTGAGAAGGAAGGAAGGTGAGCCTCTGGCACACAGTAGGCACTGTGTCACAGTGAGGTTCCTTTTCTGACACCAGACACCAACACTGAGCATGAGCCTGGGCGTCCTTTCTCCCTGGACACCCCCTCCTTGCCCACGCTTGCCCAGTTGCCTCTAGCCTCTGCCCCTCTGGGTCCCCCCCCCCAGTTCTGGATGCTGATCCTGGCCACCACGATCCCCATGCCTGCTGGCTACTTTATGCCCATATTCATTTTCGGTGAGTGTGGGGTCCTGAGGGTCTTAGAGGTTTGGGGTGATTGGGGCAGATCATGGCTCCTGGTCCACCCTCTCCCTTCCCAGGATGGTACTAAGGCTGGTCCTCCAGGACGGAGGGTGGTGGGGGTGGCCCAGCCCAGCTCACCCTGTCTGCGGTGGCTAGGAGCTGCTACTGGACGCCTCATAGGGGAGGCCCTCTCTGTTGCCTTCCCTGAGGGCATCGTGGCCGGAGGGGTCATCAACCCCATCATGCCTGGGGGTTATGCCCTGGCAGGTAAGTGGGCCAGCTCCCCACCAGTGGGCTGGACTTAGAGAACCAGCCAGTGGTTCTGCAGGGCAGGGGATGGTCACTGAGCCCCCCAATGAGCTCCCACCCTTCCCTGAGCCCCCAGCACTCTCTCTCGCTCCTGTCTTGTCCCTGATCCCGCCTCCCCTCCCTCCCTGCTCTTCTGTCACCGAGCCCAGGCACTGGGGCACTCCCACAGTGGCCACGCCCACCCCAGCCCATGGCCATAGCACACCAGCCTTGCTCTCTGCATGAAGCAGGCCCCTGGCTTGAGCCCCCTGCCCTGGCTCTGCCCCCTGCAGGGGCTGCGGCCTTCTCGGGGGCCGTGACCCACACCATCTCCACGGCGCTGCTGGCCTTTGAGCTGACCGGCCAGATCGTGCACGCGCTGCCCGTGCTGATGGCGGTGCTGGCCGCCAACGCCATCGCCCAGAGCTGCCAGCCCTCCTTCTACGACGGCACCATCATTGTCAAGAAGCTGCCCTATCTTCCGTGGATCCGGGGCCGAAAAATCAGGTGACGGGCGCCTGCCTCAGGCTGACTGACAGGAAGATGGTGTCAGGTGGGCTGGGGTGGGGCTCCCCCCAGTACCTCACTGCAGCGGACCTTGGACTTGGGTGGTATGGGCGGGGCCGACACAGCTGCTCCCTTGTCTCTAGTCTCCCCAGCTCCCTGCTTGACCTTGGGCAAGTCCTTGGCTTCCTGGGCCCTCGTGTCTTACTGGCCATCAGTCTGTCTTCACAGCAGGACAGATACCACCCATTTGTTGGAAACGGGGCCTCGGAGAGGTGCCTGTCTTGCTCCAGGTCACACAGAGTCAGCCCCAGACCTGGGAGGTCCCTGCCCGCCCCCCACGGCTGCTCTGCTGGAAGAGGTGCAGGCTGAGGTCCCCACTCCACCAGACGGGACCAGAGTGGCCTCTGCCCGCTGAGAGGCAGGACTGAGAGGCTGAGTCCCGGGTCCGGGCCCAGCTCCGAACACACGCGAGCTGCCCCCTTGCTCTGGGCCACAGTTCCCCCATCTGGAAAATGGGGTGTTTTTCAAACGTTAAAGCTTTTTTTCCCCCCCTTTTCACCATCAAACTTTTCTCCAAATGACATTCTCCAAGGAAGGCTTCTAAACAAAATAGACTAAATCTAGTCTGGAGGGAAATAGGGGTCCCAGGTGCTGCGAATTCAGAGCCAGGCCATAGTGAGCCCATCCCCAGGTCCCCCTCCACCTCGGGGCTCTGGGGGTTGCTCACCCCAGGAACCTCTCAGTCCCTGCCTACACTCAAGAGCCAGCACAACTCTCTCCGGGGTACCCGCCTCGTGCCCACTCCAGGACCTGACGGGGCACCCCTCTGCCCCCAGCTCTCACCGGGTCATTGTGGAGCACTTCATGAACTGTGGCATCACCACGCTGGCTAAGGACATGCCGCTGGAGGAGGTGGCCAAGGTCCTGACCTCCACCGAGAAGGCTCAGTACCCCCTGGTGGAAAGCACAGGTGCTCATCAGGAGGGGGTGGGGGGGCAAGTGGGGAGGTGCAGTCCCTCCACCTCCCCCTTAGCAGGGGCAGGCCCAGGAAGGGGTAAGCAGGATGTCGGACCTGTCAGACCTCCATCTGAATCCGGGCTCGGTAACTGTGTGACTTTGGGGAAATCACTTCCCTCTCTGAGCCTGTTCTCTCATCGTTAACATGGAGATTAGTTCCACCCTACTTCGGGTGGCTTCCATGTTTAAACGAGGGATGGGAGCTCTCCATGGACAGATGTTGGAACTCTAGAACCCAGGCTGTGCTTGGGGAGGGCCAGGGTGAGGGGGGCGCCGCCAGGGCCATTCAGAAGGGCTCTTTCCGCCCTGGCCAGTTTGGCTCAGCGGTTAGAGCGTCGGCCTGCGGTCCTGAGAGGCCAGGGTTCGGTTCCCGCTAAGGGCACATACTTTGGTTGCAGTTTGTCCCCGGCCCTGGTTGGTCGTGCGGGTGGCAGCCACTCGATGTGTCCCTTCACGTCGATGTTTCTCTCTCTCTCCCTTCCTCTCTCCCCCTCCCACTCTACCTGAACAAAAAATGGAAAAATATCCTCCGGTGAGGATAAAAAAAAAAAAAGAAGGGCTCTTTCCCTCAGTCTCCCCTTCAAACACTCCCCGCTGAGTCCCCGCCACAATCCCCGATGTCATGAGAAAAACATCCTTTTAAAGGAAAATGAACAGCAGCCCTTGTTAAAAAACACATACGTGGGATCTTGGGAAAGCATCTAGCTAGAGCATCATTTGCCACCAGACAGTACAGTATGAGTGGGAAGGGTACGCTGGGGGCACAGCCGTGTCCACTCAGGGCCACTGCCAACCTTTACGTCTCCTTTGTGAAAGTGCGACCTGGTGTGCCCCCGGAAGCAGAGCACAGCTGGGGTTTGGTCCTCACTTGTCCTTTGGGCAGGGACCCTGTGGAGTGAGCAACTGCACAGCCATGTGGGTGCCCGCCACCCGCAAACCACCCCGAGAGGCACAGAGCCCCATGAGCAGCAGAGCCAGGGGTGAACCACTCTGCGAGCTGCGGTTTCCTCAGCTGAAAAAGGGGGGTCAATACAGCGCGGAGTTGTCAGAGGTCCTCATCCCAAATGCCAAGCCCCCCCCAAAAGTGGGACACCCTAAACATTACCCCACAGAGTACGTCGGGTATCCCACTTGAACGCATTTGCAGGGGGAGGACCCCCAAGAGGCTTCAGCTCCTGGAACAAAGGCAGGATTGGCCTGCGAGACCAAGTCCACGCTGCTCCTAGAGCCACCGGAAGCAAAAAGTTCCCGACCCGCAGGCCCGGGCTGCGGGACCCTGCTGCTCATTCAAGAAATAGCTTTAATTGTTTGTTTTTATTTTATTTATTTATTTTTAAATATGTCTTTATTGGTTTTTGAGAGAGAGAGGAAGGGAGAGAGAGAGAGAGAAACATCAATGTGAGAGACAGTCATTGGCTGCCTCCGCACGCCCCCTACTGGGGATCAAGCCCGCAACCCCATGTGCCCTGACAGAATCGAACCGGGACCTCCCAGTCCATGGGACAACACTCAGTCCACTGAGCCACACCGGCTGGGCTAATTGTTTTTAAAGGAGAAGCACAGATAGGTCTAGATGTAAAGTTTTTATTTTACTGGATAAGAAGAAAAATACCAGGCTGCCACCTCAAGACCTGCAACTGCAGTGATAGTCCAGTGAGACTTGCCAAGCCCCCAGCACAGCAGGACCTCAGAACATGGTGGGCTCCCAGGCTCGTGCCTTCACTGGGCTGAGCCAGAGGTGAATCTCCCTGTGGGGAGTGAGGGACAAGACCCACACTGGGGCACAGACATCTTCACGCAGGTGTCCCCAAACTGCTCTGCCACATAGGGAACCTCAGGGTAAGCAAGCTCCCTCCTGGCCCCCTGGTAGCATTAGCCTCTTGTGGCTACCACACCTCCATGCCAAAGCTGAGTGACCTTGGGCAAGACAATTAACCTCTCTGTGCTGCTGAGCCTCAGTTTCCTCATCTATAAAATGGGTGAAAATAGTTCCTGTCCCATAGGCTGCTGTAGGTTCCTGAGAGACATGAGAATACCTAGCACAGTTATTGTCACATTGTAGGTGCCCAGGAAATGCAAATTCCTTCTTCATAACCAGCTCTCTCCCTCTCTTTCTCCTCTCCATTTACCCAGAGTCTCAGATCCTGGTGGGCACCATGCAAAGGGCCCACTTGCTACAGGCCCTCCAGTCTGAGTCACCTTCCTGGGCTCCAGGACACCAAGTGGGTACTCATGTGGGGTATTAGGGGGATTGGGGAGTCAGCAGGGTGTGAGCGGAGGGACCAGCTGATCTGTGGGAGAGGAGGGGCAGCCTGTCCGGCCGGTGTGGCTCAGTGGTTGAGCACTGACCCATGCACCAAGAGGTTGCCAGTACGATTCCCAGTCAGGGCACATGCCCAGGTTGTGGGCCAAATCCCCAGTGGGGGGCATGAAGGAGGCGGCCAATTGATCTTCTCTCTCATCGATGTTTCTATCTCTCTCTCCTTCTCCCCTTCTCTCTCTCTAAAATCAATAAAGGAAAAAAACCTTAAAAAATAAATAAATAAGAGAGGGGCAGCCTGGGAGAGGGGGGGGGGCTGGCCCAGGTCCCCATAATCCTTGCCCTGTCCCCAGAGGTATCTCCAGGACGTCTTGGCGGGGGGCTGCCCCATGGAGCCAGTGACCCTGCAGCTGTCTCCGGAGACCTCCCTGCACGAGGTAATGGGGAGAATTCGAACATGGGGCAGACAGGGACCCTGAGGCAGAGGGGAAGAGCCCCAGAGGGAAACAGGCTCCTGTTTCCAGACACACAGTGGCCCTCTGTTCCTCCTTTGCAGAATGGGCAGAGCAGCTCCTGCCCTCTCCAAACCCCACTTCCAGAGTTGATGGGATGATGCAGAGACTAGGGAAGTGGGAGGGCTTGCAAATAGAAGCCTCTGGGCAGGAGAGGCAGCGGTTAACATTGTCTGTGCCCCAAGGCACACATAGGTTTCAATTTCAGATCCACCACGTTCTCCCTGTGTGATCTTGGGAAAATTATTTAATTGCTTTGAATGCTGATACCCACCCCGTCCTCCTCCCCCACACAAACACAGAGCCTGGAGTATGGGGTCAGGGATGGGAAGAAACAGGTTGGGGATTTGGGGGTGGTCCCAAACCCTTTGTGACACTGTGATGCTGAATAATAGATTGTCCCTACTGGTCCCTTGTGTGGACTCTGGCGACCCCTTGTGGTCATATTGGACATTGCAGGCTCAGGTCTTGGTCTTCTACCCACCATCACTTTGGTGCCCACCAACCCCTTCCCGGGTGGGAGACATAGAGATGTGGGTATCGCTCCCCCACCTCTGCTCAAAGCCTTCAGGTTAGGGATAAATTTAAGCCAGAGGGATGGTGTGGGGGCTACCTGTCCTCCAGCATTTCCTAACAACCCCTCCTCCAGGCACACAACCTCTTTGAGCTGCTGAACCTTCAGTCCCTCTGCGTGACGTCTCGGGGCAGAGCCGTGGGCACCGTGTCTTGGGTGGAGGTACCAGGGACCTGAGGGTGGAGCAGAGTGGAGGAGTCACGCTCGAACAGGCTGGGGAGGAGGACAGCACCAATTTCTTCCTGTCCCAACTTGGAGGGACCTCATGGGACCCTGATGAGCCCCATGTCCTGGCTCACTGTGGCCACTGGCCTGGATACTCCTACCTTCTTTTGTGACCAGTGGCCAGCCCTGCCAGTCTCTGGGCCTCAACGATCCCGTTGGTGCCCTGGAGAAGCACTGGCTCTAATATTCACTCCAGAATCAATCCTTAGGGGAGTCAAATAACACCGGGGCCCCCCACTCTCAACCTCCTCTACCTCCTTCCTCCAAAAGCCCCCGTTTCTCTCTGTTTTAGTTGAAAAAAGCAATTTCCAACCTGACAAACCCACCGGCCCCGAAGTGAGCCAGCCTGGCAAGATGAACAGGGACCTCCGCTGCCCTAGTGAAGGAGATGGGGCACACATCCTGCCCCCCTCTGCCCATCACAACACACCCCTCCCCTCCAGCCCAGCTCAGCTCCCCAGTGAAGCAGGCACCTAAGAGGGCTCCACATTTACCATGTCACGTCCTGGGTGGGACAGGTGCCACGTGCTTGGAAGGGCACATCCCACTGTGGACTGAGCTCAGAATGCAAGACAGCAGAGAACCATACACTGCGGGCACTCGACACCTGTTCTTCAAACTCCCCAGTGAAGAGACTGCCGTGGGCTGTCACCAAGGGCAGTCACAGACCCCCTCGTGGGCCGATGCCCAACCGGCAGCTCCCGAGGAAAATAAAGCCATTTCCCAGAGCTTCGGTTCCTTCCTCATCTCAGCTCCTGACCTGTCCTGGCTCTTGGGGCTGCTAGTGGTCACATGGGTTTTGCAAGCCTGGGTTCCTGGGCTCCCACTCCTCCTCATGCCCCCCCCTTTGGCAAGCAGGTCTGGGGGGGAATGGTCCTCCATTGTGTCTTCTGATGCTCATCCTCACGCATAGCAGGACCCCGTGGCTCAGCTGTCTTCACCCCAGCCCCAGCCTCCTCCTTGGCTGAGGCAGAGCTGATACAGCAGGGTCCCCGGTGCGGCTCCTCAGGGAGTCTGCAGAACCTCAGGCGTCGGCTACGAGGACTCTCCCCGCTGGGTGGCAGCACACTGACCAGCTGTGTGTGTGTTGAGAGGTAGCAGCCCTCTGCTAAGTCCCTCTAGACCCCCTCGGCCCAGGAGCCCCAAGGACACGGCTCCCCCAGCAGAGACCAGGCCAATTCATCAAGGGTGAACCCACCACTTTAATGTCTTCAGAGAACTTTCAGGGACATGGAAGAAGGGTGCAAGAGTGGGGAGCAGGGGCACCAGGGTTCAGAGAGAGGGACAGACAGACGTTCACGGAGACAGGTGTCCTCGTGATGACAGTTTTGGAACAGATGCTTGGCTACCAGGAGAGGCTGCCCCACCTCTGAGGGGGGGCAGAAGCACGGAGGGAGAGGGGAGGGACAGGGGAGGGATCAGGCAGGGTCCCCAGGCCCGACTCCAAGTGGGTCTCCCAGGCCCTTTCAAGGTTGTCGGCCTGGGGGCCTGCTGTTGGCTCCTCTGGGCAGCCTGCCCTGGTGTCTGCTTAGTCCTTGAGCTCACCGAGGGCAGAAACCGTGTGGGGGAAGGTGTCCCCATGAGCCAAGAAGGGAGAAGGGGGTTATGCCTCCCACTGCGGGGGCAGGTCCACGGAGGCACGGAGTGGTTCACAGGGGTGCTGGCCTCCCACCCCCTCCCACTCCGTGTGCTCTGAAGGGTGCAGAGAGGCCCAGCCTGACCCCACGTCCTGGAGCACCTGAACTGCCCCCAGGCGAGGTCACGGTGTGAGCGGGCCTCAGCTGTAGAACACCTCGTCCTCCTCCGAGAGGGAGCTGCTGTCCACTGAGGGGCAGGAGCCCTGCAGGCAGGCCCCACCCTTGGGCCCTGGGCCCCTGGGCAGCCGGGGCCGATGCTGCTGTTCAGGGCTGGGGGGCTGGGGGGCAGCAGCCGAGATAGGGGCCTCCTTCGGTGAGGGCCAGCCGTCAGGGGAGAGGCCAGGGGAGGAGAAGGCCAGAAGACTGTCATCCTGCGAGGGGCCACTCAGAAGACTGTCCTGAAGGTAGATGCTGTCCAGGTCTGGGGAAGCAAAGGGGGTGGGGGTAAGGGCTGGAGTCCAGGCCCCACTTCTCACCCTCTGCTGGCGTATGAGTGTGGGCAAGGGGCAGAAGACCAGCTTCCAGATCCCGCTTTGTCCCTGACAAGCTGTGTGACCTTAGGCAAGTTGCTGCAAGTCTCTGAGCCCCCGTTTCTTTCTTGTTTCTTTCTTGCAGCCACAGGGCGTGGTGACAACGGGGCGTGGAGTTAAGAGCAGGCTCTGTATCGAACCCCGCACTCCGAGAACCGGGACAACCAGCATTCCCAGAGCCTGCCCTCCCTTCCAGTCAGGGAGGGTTCACCAGGCTGCTGAGGCCCTCGGGAGTAGCCCTGGGGCCCGCGGCAGCCCTCAGTGCACATGATCCCTCGTCACTACTATTTCTATGTTTGCGGTACTCCTCGGGCAACGGGCAGGGCAAGGACCACCAGCCCCATTTTCCAGATAAAGAAACTGAGGCTGAGGGAAGGAAGGGCTCGTCTGAGGTCACAGTGCATCTGGTGACAGGGCCACGTGCAGCGCCAGCTCCGCTCCACCCACCCGCCCTGGCGCCCCGGGCGGTACCCTGCAGCGGGACGATGTCCTGGGGGCTGTTCTCGGGGTGCAGCTCCTCACTGTCCAGCGAGGACCAGGCGCTCAGTGTGGCCTCTGTGATTGCAAACTGCTCAGCGACCCCTGTGGGGGACAGCGGGACCCAGCTCAGAGAGGGCACGGTGGAGGGCAGGGGTGCCGTGGTGCCCGGATGGCCTGGTACCTGGCAGCCTGGGGCTTACCTGGGCTGTCCATCCAGGCCCCGGTGACCAGAGTGCCCACCCAATGCCCTGGTCACCACATGCACGGTTTTCCCTGCCCAGACAATGCGCCTGTGCTGACAGTGTGCCCGGAGGACCAGCGCCCTGGCCGGCGCCTGTCTCCCAGCTCCTGCCCCTCACTGACCGGCAGCAAAGCGGGCCTCTCGGAGCTCGTCTGGGAGGCAGCAGTAATGCTCGTCCTCAGCGGGGGGCGGCTCCCAGCCTGACCGCTGGGCGCTCCAGCCCTTCCACTCGATGAGGTGGGCCACGCGGCCTCGCGCCATGGCCGTGGGCTTCGTGATGTGGTCCTTGATGCTCTGCACCACCCCTGGGGACATTGAGAGCAGTCAAGTGACTGTCCGACACAAGGCCCAGCTCAGAGCCCCACCCCAACACCCCAGGCTCCCCGACAGCTCAGGCCCATCCAGTGGCCGGTACCCTACATTCATTCAATGCCTTGTACCCAACCCATGCTCTGCGTCCTCAGAGCTCCGTGTCCACCAAGGCCCGGTACCGATCCACTTCCTCACGCCCAGCCGAAGCCTTGTGCTCACTCCCTGCCTGCCCCACACCCTCCCAGCATCCTGCTCCCAGCCAACCTTCCTGTGCACTCGGAGCTGCCTTCCTAGCCCTGCTACACCCCTCACTCTCTTCTGACCAAGTTCAGAGCCTTCTGCCCAAGATCTGCTCAGCGACCACGCAAGACCCAGCCAGCCCTCCCCTTTTCCGTTAATAACAGGTTCTGAGAGCACGCCCTGCGCCTAGGCCACACCAGCTCCGCTGAGGGCGAGGCCTGCCCGGCGCAGCAGGCAGAGAAGGCTTCCTGGAGGAGGGCGACTGGAGGTGGGGCTCTGAAGCCAAATCAGAGGCTATTTCAGAGATGAGAAGGTGAAGGCGTGGCGGAGTCCTGTGGCTCCAGGACCAGCAGGAGAGGCTCGTGTGCCTGCCAGGGGCCAGGCTGGAGGCTGAGAGAGCCAGTCGGAGGGCGCCGGTGTTCTCCTTATAGCCATGGGGAGCCACAGCAGGGTAATGAGCAGGAGAGTGGCAGGTAGTTTGGGAAGAGCATCCTGATTAGGGGATTAGGGGCCAAGGGTGGAGACGGGGACCTTAGGGGCCACCGAAGGCATCCAGCAGGAGGCAGGACGAGGGCTGGGCAGATGGGGAGGAGGCCCTGGAGGGGTTCATAGGAGCAGACCCGTTGGATGTGGCGGCTGACAGAGAGGGTTGTCAAGAATGATTCAGCATCTCCTTTAACCAGGGTGCCGGGCGGGAGGAGGGATTTAATGAAAGGCTAGCCCAAGGTGTATTGAGCAAAGTTGTGAGCAAAAAGACCTCTGAGAAGAGTCCAGAAGGTTGTGCTGTGGGAGACAAGGGCAGGTGCTGGGATGGCCCACTAAGATTCCCTTCCTGGCCTGCGTGCCCACCCCGGTGCTCACTCCTGCACCCTTCTCTGGAGACTGGCCCTTAGCTCTGGCAGCTGCCTCACCCAGCGATGCCCAGAGGGGCAGGGTCCTCCCCGGGGCAGCCAGTGACAGGTGGAATAAGATCAAGGCAGCCAACTCCCCAGTGCCATGAGCTCTGCGGTGCAATTCAAGCCTCTGAGCTCCCGTGGGTCGGGCTCAGGAGGACGCGCCTTCCCGGCCGCCACTCTGCCGAGCTCCGCTGCCCTGCTCCGCTGCCCTCCGCTACAGGTTGCCCTTGAGAGAATCCCTCAGCAAGGTGGCTTGACGGGCAGGTGTCACCTGCTGCAGAGAGGCGGGGAGACCACACCAGGCAGACATCTGAAAAACGGGGCCACCGCCTCAGAGCTGCTGGAGGCCCCGAGGCTGGGGCCACCGCCTCAGAGCTGCTGGAGGCCCCGAGGCTCTACCCTGGGCGTGGGGACCTCAGTCACCACTCCCTGCGGAACCCAGCTCTTGGAGCCTGGCGTCTAGAAAATGGTGAATCCACGAGGCTACAAGCCTCCAGCCGCAGCTTTGTCCCCACCCCTCACACCTAGCTCGTGTCTGGGGTGGGCCGTGCAAACTCCCAGGGCAGGAGCGAGCAGCTGCCACCTACCCACGAGGGACGAGGTGGCCAGGGCTGCCACGTTGTAGTTGCTGGAGCAGGACCTGGAGTCGGACAGGTAGCCATTGGTTTGGAAGCACCTCTGCAGGAGGGGAGAGGGGTGAGCAGGTGGGGTAGACCTGCCCAAGGAGGTCCCCTCACCCCTGCCATCCCCACTGTCCACCCTCCCCAGGGCTGCTAGGCAGTGGGCATGGCCAGGGCGACCCTGCCAACTCCCAGAGGACCACCCCACCCTACCACTTCATCACCACTGCTCCCTGCCCCGCCCTCAGGGCCGGCAGGACTGTGCCCACGCCGGGCCCAGCGGAAGGAGGGGCAGTGGCCACCCTGGGGGAGGGAAGTACACTGACCTGCCAAGGATCCCAACAGAAATCCATCTGTTTGTCCTAAAATAAAAGGAGAAAGAGCATCAGGCAGGGCCTGGCACATTGCCAGCAGATGCCAGGCATCCTGGAGCCCGGGTGGAGGTGCGGGTCACCTTCTGGTCTCTCTGAGGGTGAGGTCTGACTGCTCCTGGGCTGTGCCCTGCTGTGCCCTGGCGAGCAGAGGAAGAAGGGTGTGTAGGGGCAATGCTAGCTCCGCCAGGGGAGGCAGTGGGTGTGTGTGTGGGGGGGTCAGACCTAGGTTCGAGTTTTGACTCTGCCACTTCTGTCTGGGTGCCCTTAGACTAGCGACGTGACATCTCAGAACGTCAGTTTCTTCCTCTGTAAAATGGGACAAGGCCATTTACCTCTCGGTTGTGGCGACGCATAAATGAGATAATGTGGGCAAAGGGTCTAGCACAATGCTTAGCATGTGGTATGTGCTCAAGGTTAAAAAAAAAAAAAAAGGTAATTATATCAACTGGTAGGTTCAAGTCACAACCGCTGTGCACCAGGATGTGAGGCCCCTGGCAAGACAGAAGAATTCTATTCCTGGTGCTCTCCAGCGGGCAGTGCAGGCTGCTTGGGTCTTGTGGGCTGGTAACAAAACTTGTTATTTGCAAGGTTGAGTTGATTTGGGTCAGGAAGCCCTTCAGGGTGGAGCTCTCTCTTCTAAACAAGCCTGGCCCGGTCCCTGAATGCCCAGCCCGATTCAGACCCTCGTCCAGCTGACCACCAAACCTTAGGGGCCCTGACCCCACAAGGAGCAGCCAAGTTTGGCAGGGAGGGGAGGGCGCTGGGTAGGAACCAGGTAGGCAGGGGTGAAGGTGGGGAGGAAGCGTGAGCAGTTTACCTTGCCAGTGACAAAGTCTGGAAGAACGGTGGGTGGGCCGCCGGAGGGCAACGGGCTCAGGGGGTCTGTGCCCTGGGGCATGGGGCAGTCCTTGTGGACACTCGTGAACAGATCTGGGAATAAGACGGACAGGAGGAACTTAGAAAACTCCGTGTTCTGCGGCTCGCCAAGCTTGTTCGGTGCAGGCTGAAAGGTGGGCGTAACTCTTTCTCACCCCTTGTCATTCTGTAGAAAACAGACTCAAAGCCACAGCAGGTGAGGAGTCGGCTTGGTCCTCTCGATGGGAATTACTTGTCCATCTCTTGCTACGCCATGTTCCCTACGTCTGGCACCCACACTCTGGCATTTTTTGGACCTCAGGGTGGACCTCAGGGAGACCTCAGGGAGACCTCCAATCCATGTATCCCACATTCCACTAGCCCCGTAAGCCTCCCTCCTCTCCTGGCACAGCTAAGACCCCCCGACATTTCCTATGAGCGTTCCTTCAGAGACGCCTCGAGCCCCTCAGGCCTCTGCCTAACCTGCACCACTCGGTACCCACTCCCGCCTCTTACAGGACACTGCCCAGGGTCCTCCCACGGTTCTCTTATTCCTGCGGGGTCTGCTTCCTGCCAGGTGACCACCTTACCCCCCCCCCCGCCCCTGCTGCTGGCTTCTCCCCATTCCTTGATGAGATCCAGAGTCTTCCAAAGGCATCACCCCATGCTCTGCACCTCAAAGCCCTGCCTGCACTTCTGCCCACACCATCTGCTCTCCCTCTTGTGATGAATGAAGGCCTGTCCCCGCTCCCCCAGAGCTGGGTCCCGGCCCTGCCCTCCACGCAGGGGCTCTGCCCTCTGTCCCGGGTCGCCCTCTCGCTGTGACACCTCTTCCAGCTCTGCCCTCTGTCCCGGGTCGCCCTCTCGCTGTGACACCTCTTCCGCTCAGGGCTCAGCCCGCATTCCTGCTCCTTCCCTGACTCCATTCACTCCTTCACCCACTCTGCACCCACCTACTGCCTGTCTACGCTGTGCAAGCCCCTCAGGGAGCCCCCAGTCTGGTGCAAGAACCTGCCCCGAAGCCCCTCACCCAAACACAAGGCTGACCCAGAGCACCAGCCGAGAGCTCCGCGAAGGAAAGGTGCTGGGGTGTTCCTAGGGCCCCTGGCCACCATCTGAAGCTGGCTCAGAACGCTGCAGCCACAGACCTGGCGAGGAAGGGGAGGAAGGGGAGCGCAGATGCGGGAAGCCGGCAGGTGATATCATCAGCCCGGAGGAGCCAAGACTTGAACAAGGTCATCAGTCAAGGAGGAGGTGGCGGACATGAAGGGCTCCTGGCTCCCAGCCCCTCCCCAGCCTTCCTGCCCCCACCTCAGTTGAGGGGCAGGCACCTTTGCAAAAGCTGCCTTGTCCCCTCAGGACTTTGGCCCCCTGAGGTCACAGGCCCGTTGCCATGGAGACATCAGGTAATGAACCAGCCCAGGGTGAAATCACAGGCTGTTCTTCCCCCAGCTGGGACCTTAGCCACGTCACCACCGGCAACTGGAAAAACACAGCTTTTCATGTGGGGTGGGGGCTGGGGTGCTCCCTGAGGGGCCCCCAACCACAGCTCCTGTGGGCACCTCTCTCTCCCATGGGAGCTGTGTATGTGGGGGTACCTCCTTCCTTTCTCAGCCTACACCCTACTCCCCTCACCTCAAGGTCTGAGGCCCCTTCTCAGGCCTGCTTCCTCCCCAACCTCCCCTGACCACAGAAGTGACAGGCCTCTGGTTGCCATGGCAACCTGGAGGGGACCATTTTGATCCTTCAAGGAGAAGGGTGTCATGCAGATGTCTCCTTCAGAAGACAAGCCTCTCCTCTGCTTGCTAAGGGTGCTTCCTGCCTCCCCATGCCAGCTCCTCATCTTTAGAGCCCAACCACCCAGGCGGTTCCTCCTGGTGTCTAACCTAAACCCCTCCTGCTGCAAAGCTCCCACCCTGGTTTCCTCTGCTTAAGTTTCTTTGGTGAGTCTGCAGCATAAGTGTTCAGACTCCTCACACTGCTTCCTAGTCCCTTTTGCTGTTCTTTGGCGCTCTGTGTCCCATCCCATTAATCGTCATGGTTGCCATCTCCCCCAGAGGGAGGGCAGGAGGGCCCATGGTGAACCTTGCCCTTTCCCAGCAGCCCAGAGAAGGTAAATGTCCTCTTGAAACCACACAGTAACTGAGCAGCAGCCTGTGTCCAAAGCCCCTTGAGAAGCCCCGCCTCGGGCAGCGGCTGGCTTCCTTGCTAAGCTGCTCAGGACCCTGAAGCCGAGTGCATGGTGCAGTCCCTCCAGCCAGCGCCTCCCCAGGTGCCTACTGCCTGGCTGTCATGTGCCAGGCTCGCCTTGGCTCTGAAGAGAACACAGTGGGCAAGGCATTTCTTTCACAGTTCCTGCCCTGGGTTTAAATCCCAGCTCTTCACTGCCAGCCCCAGGGCTGTGGGCTTATGACACAGCCCCTGTGAGCCTCAGGGTTCTCACCTGTGAAATGGGAATACTGCATACCTCCGGAAAGGGTTACCATGGGGATGGGGCACCTGCCGCAGGATGCACTCTATAAACGACACCTGCTCTGTCCCTCTCCTGTGCCAGACCTCAGATCCTCTTTCTGGACCAAGGAACAGATCACCGCGCCTCTGGTCCTGTCCCCAGTGCTAAAGTTTGCTTGGGGGGCTCTGCAGAGGGAGGCCACCCAGGGTGAGCCCTTGGCCTCTCTGCCTGGTGAGTCACTGCATGGCAGCAGGCCATCCCTCTGAGCTTGGCAGAGGCTCAGCCTTGAGTAGACAGAGTGCCCCCTACTCCCAGGACATTTATTCACAGGTCACCAGGGCCACAGTGGTCCCTTTATCAGTGAGTTGGTGCAGCTCAGAGTTTCCCAAGGGGGGCCCTTTCCATGCCCAACCAGGGATAGAGAGACAATGGGATCCTCTCCAGGACCTTCTAGACACCCCTGTTCCTTTCTACTTCCTCTGCCATCCTGTGGCCCAAACTCTTTGAGCACACTGCTCTAGCCTCACCTCCTCCAGGCAGCCTGCCTAGATTAGCCTGAGCTGTATTAAGCTACTCCCTTACCAGCAGCCTTAATGGGCAAAGTCTGGTCTGCAGTGATTTGCTGCTTGTTTATTAAACACCTACTATGTGTCAGGTACTGTCTTAGACCGTTTCATCCACTAGCTCTTGTTTAAAGCTCACAACAACCCTGCAAAGTGGACACTGTTAGGCCCATTTTACAGATGGAAAAACTAAAACTCAAAGAGGTTAACTCACTTCTACAAGTTCAACAGCTAGTAAGTGGCAGAGATGGGGTTCACACCTGGGCCAGTCCGCACCTCCAAAGCTTGTGCTCCAACCACTAACCAGTGCTGATCTCCGAGAGGTCCTCAGGCCGTTTCTCCAAGTGTGTGTGTGTGTGTGTGTGTGTGTGTGTGCACGTGCATGACGTGCTGCTTCCCCCATTAGACCACTCGAGGGCAAGGTTGTGTCTCCCTCCTCAGACTGTGAGCTCCAAAGGACAAGGGCCCATCTACTCCTTCCTTGGTCTCCCCACAGAGCTCAGCGTCAGACTGCTCGCTGACCGCTAGGGTCCAGGGAGCCAGGACTGGAGAACTGGGGATGGGGGATCACTCCATGGGCATTGGGCACTGTGGGTGGCTGTGGTCAGCCCCTTTAGGGCTTGTCTTCTCCCAGATATGATCAGATGTCTGACCTCCCAGAAGAAAGTCTTCCATCTTCAATTTCTGCTCTCTGCCCTCACTCCCCCTGTGCCCAGTGCCTTGAGACCCCCAGGGTGGGGCCAGGACACCGATGGGTTGGTCTGGAGGAAAGGGTGGGGCAGGCAGAGAGGTTCTAGTGCTAGGGCCATGGGTGGGCACTGGAGAGAATCAGGGTGCGGGGAGCAGATATTAACTCCCCTCTGCTCCACATGGATCTTCACCAGCGGAGGCAGCAAAGCCCGAACCAGATGCTAACCACTTGAGTTATTCCGGAGGGTTGCTTTTTTTAGGCACTGGGCACGCGCTCAGCACCTCTCTCCATGTGGGGGATGTGAGGGGGCAGGGGTTCTGGGCTCAGGCCTGGGGTCACTCAGACCTGGAGGCAAATCCTGCCTCTCCGTGGCCTGGCTGTGTGTCCTCCGGTAAGACTCTCCCCGTCTCTGAGCCCTACGTCCCCCCTCCCAGGGTTGAAGGAGGACTAACTAGGTCAGGAGGATGAAGGCTCCTGGCTCAGGAGAAACGCCCAGCAAACAATGGCTTAAAAATAAATAATGAACACCAAAGAGCTCCTGGGAACAGCATTTGTGCCTTACTCTGGTGCCGATCACCTTCCCCACGTCCTCAGCACCTCAAGTGCCTGTCACCCCAACTTTGCCCATGAAAAGGCTGGGGTTTGAAGCCTCTGTAGCTCCCCCTTTCCCAGTAAGAGGGTCTGATTAGGTGTTTGCACAGGAGGGTAATAATCAAAACGAAAGTAGTCGCCTACACGCACAAGTGCTGGTCCGAGTGCTTGGCATGAACTAAGTCACTTAGTCCCCTCCCAGCAAGTCTAGGACAGCAACACTGGTGTCATCCCATTTTAGAGACGAGAACACTGAGATACACGAGCAAGGTTAAGCACCTGGCTGAGGTCACAGAGTTAGGCTGGCTGGCTCAGAGCCTGCACTCCTGACCCCTCGGGCCTGGCTCAGAGAAGCTAACTGCTGCCCTGGGCTGCAAGGAGACAGCTGTCCCCGCGCGGCCTGTGCCCCGGGGGTGGTGTTTGGCCGGGGCTGTCCCACCATGAGGCTCCAATCCCTGGCCTGGCTTCAGGCTGCACCCCTGACACAGGGAAGCGTTTGGAGCAAGGACGCTATTGTTAGCAGTTGGTGTGAGTGTGGACACGAGGTTCTGGAGGCTCAGAAACCCATGGAAGCTCGCAGCTGGAAAGGGGCAGACAGGTGCCCGGGGCTGGCGGTGCGGTACAGAGGCTAAGGGCCCAGGCTCCGGAGTCAGCCTGTCTGGGTTCAAATCCTGTCTCTGCCTCGTTATTTCTTTCTTTTTAAAAAAATCCTCACCCAAGGATATTCTTCCACTGCTCTTTAGACAGAGTGGAAAGGAGAGGGGGAGAGAGAGAGAAACATCAATGTGAGAGACACATCAATTGGTTGCCTCCTGCACGACCCCCACTGGGACCGGGGATCAAATCTGCAACCCAGGTACATGCCCTAGACCGGGAATCGAACCTGCAACCCTTCGGTCCGTGGGCAACACTCTAACTGCTGAGCCAAACTAGCTAGGACATGCCTCTGCTATTCCTTATCTGCAGCTCCTGGGCGAGTCACTCAACTCCCCTCTGCTCAGTGTCCCCATTTGTAAAATGGGGACAGTGAGAGTATATACCACTGAATAGTTTGTTGTCCCTGAAAGGTTCCAACCAGTACCTGGTGAGCTGTACGCATTCAGCATTAGTGCCAACTAGAGGGGCGTGTGGTCTCCGCTCAGTGGTTCTACCGCCCAGAGTCTGAGACAATGGCTGACGGGCCTCATTCCTTGTCTGAGGACCTGGGCCCCAGTCCTGGCACTGCCCTGAGTGACCTTGGCAGGTGTCCCTTCCTTCCCAGCCTCTGAACAGCACTCAGCTGGTCTACAGCTCACAAGCAAGGCCCCTAGCCCCTCACATGGGATGGCCAAGATGGGGAAGAGACACACCAAGGAAACACCAGGTCCCAGATCCTCCAACACCCAGAGATTGCCCCGAGCGGGGTTTCTGGACAGACACAGAGCCCATCATCCCTAAAGAAACCTAAGCACTCCTCACTCTTAAAACCCCCCTCCCACTCCAGCCAGCTGCGGGTCAGGAGGGCAGGTGCATCACCGGGCTGCCCGCACACAGTGGGTGTTATGCTACTATTAGCTTAATGAACAAGTGAATGAACCTCACACAGCCCCACCCCCACCCATGATCTCAGTCCTGACACCCTCCCGAGACATCCTGAGCCACCTACCTGAATGTCCCACATGGACCAGTGAGCCACAGAAGGCCACAGGATGAAGGGAGAGGTGTTGTGTTCCTTCCTCAACATCTCCCCACCCCCACCCCCCTAGGGCTTGCCCAGCCCCTCCCTAAGGCCTGTTTATCCCTCTGCACCTGAAAAAGCTACTGGGGGTGATGGGTGGGGTGGCAGCCCCCCAAGGATCTGTGGTTGGGGTCAGTGAGTTTGGCCAATCATCCCCACCCAGCCCCACCCCCTTCCACTGTTGGGTGAAGACCAGCAAACCTCAACTAAAGTGTTGCTCAGCAGCCTGTCCAGAGACCAACCTGCCACCCTCCAGAGCAGCTCACTCCAGCTCCCGATACCTGGGGGAGCACAGGAGGGGAGAGCCAGGGTGCCAGCTCGGGGTGGCTTCTAAGGCTGAGAGGCAGAGGAAGGCCCAGGGATTACTGGGAGCATCAGCTGTCTGTCCCTTCCCACCCCCTGGCCAAGGATGGGGGTGGGGATTGGGAGTTAAGATGAGGGTAGAGGACGAAGAACCTTCTTTATAACCTGTTCACCATCATTAACCCCTTGCTGCCAATGGGGTTCAAGGGCTCTGAGAGGGGCATGGGATAAGGGGACAGAAATTGGGGGTGTTGAGTTAGTAAGGCCTGTATCTTGGGGGGGTGTATGGGAAGGAGAGTGTTCTCCTGGTGCCCCACCCCCACCCCGAAGTCCCTCCAGAACAGTCAGGAGCACCCAGAAGCTTCTTGCCCCTCAAGACACACGACTGTGTGTGTGTGTGTGTGTGTGTGTGTGTGTGCACGCGCGTGCGCCGGGAAGAAAGCGACCCTGCTTCAGGCCACCTGCCAGGGTGTGGTTCCGAGCGGGGCTGGGCTTGGTGACCTCCCTGCGCTCTCTCCGCGCTGCACCCCATCCTCCCGCGGCCCGTCCCCCAGGGTGCCGCGTTTCCTCGGGCCGGCGGGGTAGGGTGGGGCGCCGCTGGTCAGAGGGGCGGGTCGCCCTCCCTCCCCACTCTCCAGTTTCCTTGGAGCGGCCCGAGGGACTGTGCGCGCGTCCTCGGCGAGGGGCCCCGCGCCCCCAACCCCACCGGCCCCCTCACCTCGCGACACGCAGGAGCCCATCACGGGGCCGCGGGGCAGGGCCGCTGCGCCCTGGGTGCGTCGGGCCGCCGGGCGCTCATGTCTCCGCGGCCTGGGGCTCACGCGCGGCGCGGGCGCGGCTGCAGGGCGGGCGGGAAGGGGCCGGGGCTCCTGTCAGCTCGGCCGCCTCTCCGCCGGGTCGTCCCCGCCGCCGCCGCCGCCTCCCGCGCCAGCTCCAGCCGGCACCGCGGAGGGAGGCGGGGCGCCGGAGCCGGAGCGCAGAGCCGCGCGAGGGGCCCGCCCCTCGGGCCCCGGGCCGCGCCCCGCGCACCTGTGGCGGCCGCCGGGCCGGGGGCGGGGCCTTGGGGGTCAGGGGAGCGCGGGTGGGGGTACTCTTGGCCCCCGCCTCCCGCCACCTGGTGACAGGGGCTGAAGGTCAGGGAAGGGGGCGGTGGGGGCGGGGAGATTTCCGGCATTTAGGACGCGTTCTTTTAACAACCAGGACCAGACACCTGGCGGAGAGCAGTAACAAGTCTGTTACAGGCCCGGTTCGCAGGGGAAGGAGAGGCCCCCAGAAGTTAGACGCCTTGCCCGAGGTCCCGTAGCTGTGAGGGATGCTGGCCCGGGGTGGAGGTCAGAGTGTGGGGACAGAGTTCTAGTGGCATCACTCCAGCACCCGGTCCCCCGCAGAGCCTGGACAGGGCAGCACCTGCCTCTCTGGGCTTAGCCAGGACGATGAGAACCCAGGCACGAGGTCTTCTCAGCCCTGGTCTCCTGTCTAATGAGCGACAGTGGCCACTTTGATCACGCACATCCTCATGCCTACACACGGACAAACTCACACGTGTACACACTTACACATGTGAACCCTTGCACACCCACACACTGGTACACACACTAGCACACACCACAAACTATCAGCCATGCACTGACGTTTATACAGTCACACACACACACACACACACACACACAGCTCCTTAGCAAACCTCCCCTCGTGCACAGCTCTTCCGTGGCCAAAGCACTCTTTCCCATATTTTGTCTCCCTGCATCCTTACACCTACCTGTGCACCAGGAAGGGCAGGTGTCATCGTGTCCCTTTTACACAGGCAGGTGAGGAAGCCAGGTTCACTGGTTCCCTTAAAAAACCTGGTGACAGCCCTGCAGAGTTCAAAGGATGGGTCAGGTTTGAAGCAGGGGCATGGGTCAGAGCTAAAGGCCTCTGCAGGCCCTGGCTGGTTTGGCTCAGCAGTTAGAGCATCCGCCCGTGGACCAATGAGTTGCAGGTTTGATTCTGGCAAAGGGCACATACCTCAGTTGCTGTTCGTCCCAGGCCCTGGTTGGGTCAGGCGGGAGGCAACAGGCGATGTGTCCCTCTCACATCGATGTTTCTCTCTCTTTCTCCCTTAAATAGACAAATATTCTCAGGGGAGGATTATAAATAAATAAATAAATAAATAAAGGCCTCTACGGGGCAGGATCTGAACTGGTGCACCTTCCAGGGGTAGGGAGGGGGTAGGGGAGGGGGATGGGGGTGGGTGCTGACCTTTTTCTCTTTCCCCAGGCCCGGTGCCCTCTCTGGAGTAAAGTCCGGGTGGACAGTTGCCCTGGCACTGATGTCAGCAGACCTGGCATAAATGTGGACTCAGTTCACACAAGCTGTGTGACCTTGGGCAAGGTGCTTCACCTCCCTGAGCCTCAGTGTTTTCATCTATTAACTGGGGGCAAAAATCTCACTTCCTGGGATTGCTATAAGGATTAATATATGCAAGATGACTGGCACATACTAGGTACTTAGGGCTAAAAAATAAACAATAGTGACAGTGAACAAGGTACGATCATCTATTATCTCACCATCTTCCCTACACCTACAGGAAGCCTGAAGAAACTCCAATTCATGGATATCTATGAAGCACCTACTATGTGCCCGTGTGAACACAAAGATGTGCTAGCCCTGGAGTCAGTACTGTATTCAGTTGGGTGCTCAGGTACCCTCATACTCCACCCCATCAGACCAGTCCTGCCCCCAAGTCTGGCCTGGGGGAGGATAGCTCTGAACGACAGTGTGTCCTAACCACCATGAAGCCCAGTGCCTTACAGGGCCAGCTGCCTGCTGCCCTCGTGTGGGTGGAGGAGGAAAGACGGGTCTGCCTGTGGCCAGGCTCCGGTCCATCCTGTGTAGCCCAGAGTTGGGGAGATAGAGGTGTCCTTTCTCTTCTTCCTTTTGTGGAGTGACTGGACCTGGCTGGGATGCAGAGCTCTGACTCACCATGACACAGGACACTCCGTCACAGCTGCTGATGCTCCCAGCTGGCAGCCTGGCGGCTCTGGGGCACAGGGAAGTGGACCCCCACAGAGAGGATGGGGCAGGTCACTGGGGAGAGAAAGGATGCTGGGAAGCCCACTGTGCCACCGTCAGCCTAAGACAGACGGGTGGATGAACCTGGGCAGTGGCCCCTCCCAGAGTCACTTGCTCACCAATTCAGAGATATCCCTGGGGTGGGGTGAGGGGTTCTGCCTATCCCAGCCTCTGGTATTCGTGCTGGTCAATTCCACACTGACTCGGTCCTCTCATTGCAGACTGGTGCTCAGAGAGGAGTAGGGGCTTGCCCAAGGTCACACAGCAAATTGGTAGCAGAGTGGAGACTAGAACCCAGGTCTCCTGCCTGTCAGTCCAGCCCTGGCACTGGCCTGAGACTGGGCCATGCAACGGTGGGCAGCTCCCCCTTGGACGCCCACATTCACCTTCTTGGTCCTTGGAATTCTGCTGAAGCAGACGAATCCCAGATTCCCAGACAGCTCCAAGATGAGTGGTTGTCCTTCCCCGGGGCAGGCTGTCCTTTCCCAGCTCAGCCCATAGCCTATCTGCCCTGGGACCTTCCACTACCCTCCCCCAGCATGCTCCTTGCCCCACCCATCCATGGGGGAGAGGAGAGAGAGGACCCCTGGTGGGTGAAGGGATCGGAGAGAGGGCACAGGCTGTGTCCTTCACATCCCAAATCCCATTCTCCTGTCATGATTTTGGGGATCCAGCCAGAGCCCCCAGTCCTGTGATCTCCCCCACTCTCCTACTCAATGACAGACATTCACTAGACCTGAGTGCCCATCCCCGAGCTGGGCACTGGAGCGCGGAGAGCAGATGCTGCAGTGTCTGACCGGGGAAAGATTAATCCACGGAGCCGTTCCAGTGATGAATCAGACTCAGTCCCTGCCCGGCGGTCCTGGGGGGCTGGGGGTGCGACGCAATGTGGAGGAGCCATGTGCATAAATAACTCGGGTTACGGCAGACTGTGGAGCATCTATGCCAGCCAAGTGCAATGGAGAGTTGCTTCTGGCAAGGGTTGTGGAAATGGCTTCAAGATGACGGCGACCTGCAATGGCATTTGGAAAGTTGAGTGTGATGTGGCAGGCAGAGATGGTGGGAGGCTCTTTATACACACAGTTATGGAGGCAAGGATGTGGGGGCACCAGGGGACTGGTGTATATGACATCTGGGGGGCCAGTGGGAGAGGGTGAGACTTCAGACTGGGGTTGCCCACCTCCGGGCCTCTACCATCTCCTCAGCACTGGCTTTCTAAAGAAACGCAGAACTGGGTATGCAGAAGGAGAACAGAATTGGGAGCCAGGCACATCTGGTTGTGACTCAATACATAGTAGATGCTCAATAAATACTTGTTGACTGAATGCAAGAAAGTGAGACTGGTCCGAGGTCACACATCTGGAAAGCAGTTACAGCCTGGACCAACAGAATCAATCTTTCATTCATCCCGCAAATGCTTATTAATCACCTGCTGTCCATCTGGCACTGTGCATTGCTGAGATTACAGCATGAATGAGCCAGACAAGGTCCCTGGGGAGAAAAGCATTCAGCCAGTAACAACCCAGGAAAATGGACAATCACAGCCCCGAGAAGCACTGGGGAAGCGCTGGAGGGTGTAGGAGGGAAGGACTTGATCTGGCCGCGGGTGTGGAGGGAGCGTCCAGGGGAAGTGACAATAACAAGGTTCACAGCTGATGGACAAGTGGGGTGTGGCTTGGCAGAGAGAACAGCACAGCAGCGGTCTGGAGGTGGGAGGAAGGATTCAGCCCCAGGAAGAACACAGGGCCACAAAGGCTGGAGCACAGGGAGGAGGTGGCAGGAGCCAGCTCCCCGGGGCCCCCACTTGGATCTGGTCTTTGTGTAAAGAGCAATGGAAGCTCCACCCTCTGTTTGCTCATTTGCAAACCAAGCTTCCTTCCCATCACTCTCAGGTGGGGCCGATGCCCCATGGGGTTCCCAGGCCAGTTCCCTGGTTGTCTGAGAAGACTGTGGGCTTCCAGCTGGAGTGGGGTGACAGGACAGAGTTCCTCACAGGCGACCAGCTGGACTAGGTGGGGAAGGGACAGACAGAAGGGTAAGCCCCAGTCTGATGGAGGAGACACAACCATTGTGCTACACACTGGGGACACTGGGCTAAGACCAGCCCCTGCCCTCGGGAAGCTTATAGCCCGGGGAGTAAGTAGGTACATTGAGTTCATCTCTAAAATGCCTGGCCAGACCTAGTCCACAGTGGCTCTTCAGGACAGAATCCCTTTCTCGGGGTTCAGAGACTGGTATTCCTGGGTGCTGGGTGTCTGCAGGCAGGAAGGAGGCCCCCTGCTAGGACTAAACATAGACTCAGATAAAGCTTTAAGATTTCACCCGAGATGCTTCTCCTGAGCCGTGAGCGTCATGCAGCATGTGGCCACCAGGGGGCAGCCCAAGACAGCACTCATCTTTACTGCTTTCCTTTTCCTTTCTCCCTGGGCCACTTGATCCAGAAAGTCCCGTGCTGCCCACTCAGACCCAGCCACATGGTTCAAGGTTGGGCATTGTGCGCCCTGCACAGAGGTGCCCAGCCAAGGGGGAGGGCATTGAAACCCCGCCAGTGATCTGGTCCCCAAGCCTCGAGCTCTGGAATAGGCTGTGTCAGCCTGGGTACAGGGCAGCCTTTTCCAGCACCAAGGTGTCATCTCCTTGCTAAGTTGTGAGCTACAAGGCTGCAGCCATCCAGATTTGCAGAAAGTCTCCACCTGGGCTCGCAATATCCTGCGCTAAACATCGCCTGGTCCTGACCCCTGCCACAGATGTGGAGACTGACCCTGGAAAGCGACCAAGGCCAGTTAAGAGCAGAGCCAGGACTGAAACCTGACAAGCCAGTGGGACTCTGCTCTACGTGGAGGGCTCGGAGGCTAGGTGCTC